TCAGGCTAAGGCCTCCCCTCCCCACCAGATATTGGTCAGGGTTAGTCTTCAAGTGTAGACTACAGTCTTGCTCTCACATTCTTAGCTTGTGGATGATTTTCTGCTCCAACTTCCTAAAATACACTTTCTTTGACCAATAGTAGGATCAGCTGTTTGGAGGGTCCCACCAGTAACAGAGCCAACTGCTCTTCTTATCAGCTCCAAACCCAAAGAGAGAGACCTGAATTGGAGAAGCACGAAGGAAAGAATATGGGTCTTCCAGCCAGGACCCAACCTTGCCCCAAGGCATCAGGCCAGAGCTCCATTTCCTTCTCTTTGTCACATGCAACAGGCCATAACCAGAGCAGTGAATCCAGCGGATGGGCACTGTCTCTGACCATCCCGCCAGTTCTCACGGATACAGCAGAGGGTGGTGTGATTGATCTCCAGAACCTGGGGGAAAGGAGGTCAGAGCTGAGCACGCAGGTCTTCTCCATCCACAAATCCTCCCCCTCCCTCCAGCCTTCTTTCCTGCTTTGATAGAGGCTGCTACAGGCCCCAAAGTCCTGAGAACAGAAGGGGGCGAGAGCCAGAGTCAGAGGCTGACTCAGAGTCAGAGTCAGAGTCTGGGCAACGTTCTCGTTCCCAGGGAGCGCTGGGTCTGGTGGGTATGACACCTTGCTCGCTCAAAGAGCCTCCATGCTTTGCATGTTAGAGCGACAATCACCACATTGCAACCTAATACCTTTTCTCATCTGCTTCCCGCCCGGGGACTAGCAGGGTGGTCTCTAACTCCATCAGGAGCTGCAGGGCCCATCGGGAGTGCTAGGCAAACCAGGTAGACACCCTGCTGATGCAGGCAGGCTATGTAGATGCTCTGGGGCCAGCAGCAGAACTTCCAGAAGTACCTGTGGAGGTGGGGAGACCCCACCCACAAAAGCAGCAAGGCATCCTCCAGCCCGAGACTTCACATGCAGGCCTCATCTCAGCCATGGGACAGGTCCCTTGGGCAGTGAGTTGGTTCAGTTGTTCGATCTTAGGACAGATGATGCCTTTAGCAGTTCCCCCTGCAGTACTGCACCTCCTACCTCCTGTCCCATGAACCACCTACTCGCACTTGCTCCCGGGGCTGAGGAAGGGATCAACTGAGCAATATGAAAACGCTGAGTCCTGAAGAGCCGGGGGAGTGGTGAACAGAGGCAGGGAGGGGCAAGGAGCGGGGACCACCAGTGTGCCCCGAGCCAGGAGATCCCTCTGCGCAGTCCTGGCGTTCAGGCTTCGCTCCGCTCACCACACCGAGAAAGGAGGCAAGGGAGAAGGAAGAACGAGAACAAGGGGTCTCTAGGTTCTGCGGCCCTGCAGTTTACTCCCCTGCTCTCCTGAGACCAGGGTTTGCCTAGACCCTGACGGAGGCGAAGGCAAGGAGCGAGGCTTCTCCGGAGAAGAAAGGACTGTGCTCCCGGCCCTGCTGTTGCTCACCTGACTCACATCAGTAGCCCGTCACGGAGTGGACATTATGACCTCTTTCTTCTTAGTCCTTTGTCATTAATGCCCCCAGCTCTTTAAATGCCTTCATAGGGCCTGAAGCTTGGCACAGGTGGAAGGGCTTGGAGGCAAGAAGTTGAACAGGTCAGGGGTCAGAGGAGAGAGGTGAGCAAAGGCTGTGACGTGGCCATCTGAGAGCGGGTGCTCGCTGTTCCCAGCTCATGGTCATTTGTGTGGAGGCAGAAAGCGGTAAGAATTAGAATTCAAGTTTAGTCCTTCCTTAATTACTACTACTTGTGGGGTAAGGGAATCAGGGAAGGCTTTTTTTCAGTGCCTGGTAACCCATACATCGCTCCTGCACCTCCTGTCTTGGTTTCCTGTCATTACCTCTCCTGTGTCTGCATATTCCAACCCTACCAAGAGTCTCAGGCTTGTTGCTGGCCAAGAGTAGGCTCACATCCGAGCTGGCTAATTCCCTTACCTTCTGCTCTTGCGTAGTGCTCGGCAAGTCATGCTGGAGCCTTAAGCTATAACTCTCTTCCCTGCATAAGGGGTCATCTCTTCAGCTTGTCCACCCGACTGCAAATAGAGAAACCCTGTGGATGAGGTCAGATGCACTGGTTGCTGCCCCCTGCTCCTAATCCAGCTTTTCATTCATCTGACAAATACTCATCAAATCTATGTGTCACAAAGCTCCATGACACACACTGAAAGGAGGAGCTCGTCTCCAGGGGAGACAGACCCTGGACGTAAAGAAACACGCACAGCATGACCTGGGTGCTGGGAAGAGACTCACTGGCCACTTGTAATGAGGCCAGGGAAAGTGTCACAGAACATCTTGGAGGAAGAGAGGGCTTGAGGGCCCTTTCAAAGTGTTTGTCGAGCCGATTGGTTACACTGGGTGCACGGCGTCAAGGGCTGCACCTGCGGGTCTCGGGAGCAATGGCAGCTCTTGGAGTTGTACCAGCTAGCCTGGTCAGGTGAGACCGCTCTGAGAACAGAAGCATCAGCCACAGGTGAGTGTCAAGGCAACCCACCAGCCTCAAACCCACCATTAAGCTTTCATTCCTGTCCCGTGGGGCAACTCACAGGGCAAGTGGCAGGCTGACTCGGACAGCAGGCTCCCAAAAAAATAAGAAGCTGTGGTCACAGCCTCCACCAACATCCCACTGCCCTGGTGGCCTCCATCACTTCCTCAACCCTCCTCACCACATCTCCTTATAGCACTTCACCCCTCACCTCCCCAGCCACCTGCTAAGCCCTACAGGGTGCTGTGCTGGAGGATGAGGGGAGGGAGGGGAGAAGTGCCTTTTGGTGTGTCCTGTGGCCTCCCTGGAGGAGAAGGGGTTGATGCCCAATGGAGTCCTTCCTGCCAGCCCACTTGTATCAGGGACCCCACCACACAAGTCACATTGTGAGTTCCTGAATGTAGGCTTTGCAGGTAAGATCGCCTTCACCTTGGCATTCAGCCCAAGGTCCAGCTGGTGAGAGAGGGCTTAGAAACCAAGTATGATGGGGACAGGAATGAAAAGGGCAAGACTACATGCCAAGGCTAGTATGGTGCATCTCTGAGAGGGATGCCAGCCATTCCCGATGCAGGCTTGTTAAGCACGAGGCAGACAGGGGAAAGGAAGAGCCTTTTGGCCCCTCTTGAGAAAAGAGCCTACGAGAAAACTTTGTGATGTGCTTAAAAGCAAATTTCTATCCAACCAAACTTGGGGGGCGGGTAGGTATTTTTGTTTTGCTTTGTTTTTAGGCCACATTTAGGCTTGCAGGGATCTTAGTTCCCTGACCAGGGATCGAACCCAGGGCTCTCAGTGAAAGCGCTGAGTCCCAAACCACTAGACTGCCAGGGAACTCCCCAGATTTTCATTTATTTAAAATGAAACAATTGCATGCACATAGTTAAAAATTAAACAGAATAGAAGGCAGGGGCTTCCCTGGTGGCGCAGTGGTTGAGAGTCCGCCTGCTGATGCAGGGGACGTGGGTTCGTGCCCCGGTCCGGGAAGATCCCACATGCCACGGAGCAGCTGGGCCCGTGAGCCACGGCCACTGAGCTTGCGCGTCCGGAGCCTGTGCTCCGCAACGGGAGAGGCCACAACAGTGAGAGGCCCGCCTACCACCAAAAAAAAAAAAAAAAAAAAAAAATAAAGGGAGGAAGTTCCCCCCCCCATTCCTTTTTTTTTTTTTTTTTTTTGGCCACGCCACGCAGCATGAGGGATCTTAGTTCCCCAACCAGGGATCGAGCCCACGCCCCCTGCAGTGGAAGCACGGAGTCCTAACCACTAGAAAGCCAAAAAAGTCCCACCACCCCATTCTTTTTTAACCCCTTTCCAATTTTTTAAACTCTATTTTCGTAGAGGGTAACTTTGGTCCTCTAAATAGTGTTTATATAATGCCATATGGGCCCAGCATCTGGAACAAGATGGTGATAGGTAGCTGCATTGCCCACACCTTTGGGGATTCTTGGACTCTGGTTCTGAGCCAGACACCCGGCATCTCAGTGCCCTTAGGGAGGCGGGTAAACGTGCTCTCAGCTGTACCAGGGATATTTACATTTTGTTAGGTTATGTGTGTTTGTCGGGCAGCCAAAGTAAAAATGTAGTGGAATTGTTTTGGATACCCAGCAACTGAAAACCCTCATTAACTAAGGCTCTTTGCTTACCTTGAACTACTGTTTCTACCAAGAAGGCAAGATAAATGCTTGCCCTCTGCCCTCGTTTGATATAATAGTCTTCTCCAACGATTGTTTTTATTTCTCTTTGAGTATCATTATGGACCCAAGGATTTTTATATATTCACTGTGATTCATTCATGACAGTTGCTTTTTTTTTTTTTTTTTGCGGTACACGGGCCTCTCACTGCTGTGGCCTCTCCCGTTGCAGAGCACAGGCTCCGGACGCGCAGGCCCAGCGCCCATGGCTCACGGGCCCAGCCGCTCCGCGGCATGTGGGATCTTCCCGGACCGGGGCACAAACCGGCGTCCCCTGCATCGGCAGGCGGACTCTCAACCACTGCGCCACCAGGGAAGCCCATCAGTTGCTATTTTTGATGCTCAAATTGTCCCAAATTTGATGTCCAGGTTTTCCTTGTACTTTTCTTGTTCAGACCTGGCATCTTTTGGTGGAAAAAAATATTTAGAAAATGAAATCTGCATTCCAGAGTTGATCATTGCCTCTGGGATGTTACGGTTTTTAGACTAGCAGAAAATGTGTTTTGAAAATTGTGAGTTCAAGATGGTGATGGTTGCACAACAATGTGAGTATACTTAATGCCACTGAACCGTACACCTTCAAATGGCAAATTTTATGTATAATTTACCACAATAAAAATAACATAAAAATTGAGTTCATAATGATATTTGCAGTTTGAATTTAATGTCACAGGGTTTTTATTATACCTGTCTTATTTTGTATTTGGTTCCTAATAATATTAATATAATTATTTATTTCATTCTGTGATATTTATTATATAGTTTATAATATTATAAATATTATAATAAGTTACAATATTATAATAAATCTACTGAGTGAAGTTGAAAATTTCTTTGTGGTTCTTTTTGTCCACAGAATCTATCCTACAGAGAATACACAGTATATTGAATTCTAAAGGAACTTGAACTACTTCTTTCCCTGGTGGTTATGTTATCAATCTGATATACAGTTAGGTCCATTTGATGTGTTTTCAACTTTAGGGTTTGCTTTTTCCTCTTTTTCGTTTAATTTTATTTTTTGGTCAGGTAAATATATATATGAGTAACAATGAAATGTTCTCTGTTGAGAATCTAGAAGAGGATGTAGCCGTTTAATGCCACAATGTAGGGTTTTATTCAGTAGCAGAGTGACCTTCATCCAGGGTGTGTTTGAAACCCCAGTCCCTCTCTGACACTCCAAGGTCCCCTTGACTACCTGTCAGCCTCCTGGGGCCTCCAGTGGGCTGAATAGGCTGAGGACCATCTCAGTTGTAAATAACAACCTTCCCCTCACACTGCAGCTTAAGAATGATCTGTTGCTCTTCTTTAAAACTGTGCATGTTGCTCTTGAACCAATATTCTTCATCCCAGTAATGGGACCACCTGCTGAGCCGGTCTGTCCGCAAACCAAATAAGGATACCTGGAAGATGGGGTAAGACAGGAGAGGGCTGTGGGGCAGCAGGCTGGATCCTGCCCTGCTTCCATGCCCCCCAACCATTCCTTCAGCAAACACTCACTTAACATCAAGGGTGACAGGCCGCCTCCCGGAGCTGGGAGGAGAACGGAGCTCACCTTCCCCAGGGGAGACAAACTCTGAACACACAGAGGGACCCCAGAGCCCAGAAAAGACAGCACCAGCTAGCTGATTCTCATCATATTGGAGGAAGAGAGCATTCCTCGGGGAGACAAGGGGAAGGCATTCCAAGTAGAGGGAGCATCGTGTGAAAAGGCATGAGTCAGATGGTGTGTTTGGGGAACGCTGAGAAGCCCATGGTGTGAGCCTGGGAGAGAGGAAGGGTGGGGGGAGGGGTCAGACCATGCAGGGTCTTGAAAACCAGACAGAAAGATTTAGACTTAATGTGAAGTCCCTGGGAAAACGGACATTTTTAGTGGCAGAGGGATGAAATTCTGTGAGTTGCAGACGGTGTCTTACCTGGTCACAGGCGTGCAAGGCGTACAACAGAGCTATGAACCTCAAGGATGGAAAGTGATCGTTTTTTCCCAGCCATCTCTGCTGGACATACTGGAGGAAGCTGAGGCTGATCACTGAGACCTGGGGAAACAGAGGAGCGTGGTGACCTGAGGTCTGTCCAGTGGCTGCCCAAGCCACATCATTTTACTCCTTCCCCTTTTCCCTCCTGGTCCCTCACCTTGTCTTTGCTCTCTTTACTTCTACCAGGGACCTGGACTAAAAAATGATTGGGGGTGGGGGAGTTTCAGAGTCATTTGACACAGCAGCCCCCAAGCTTAGAGCGGTGCCCTGATATCTAGCAAGGGTCTCTCTGGAGTTCCCACTGTCACCCCTTACAATGCCGCACCCCACCATGCCCAGGATTTTTTGGCTTCCTCGTGATGCCCTCTTTCTGCAGTACCTCCATAACCCATTTCAGACCAGATGAATTCAGAGGAAGCAGCAGCAGCTGGGTGCCAGGATCCTGAGGGCTGTCTATCTCGGGATATGTAATGTGCACAGTGGTCATGTTCCCCACGTCTGTCTCAAAGCCTTGGACAGGGGCCTGGAAAGGAGGGCAGGATGGACATCTGAGGGAAGAGGAGGATTTGGCCTGACTTTCCTAGTCTCCACCTTTTACCCTGCACCCACCTGAGGACCATATCATGTTGGTCAATCTTGAAGCCGAGGCCAGAGCCCCGTAGGAACTTTTGAGTTTCCAACCACTGCACAGGTCTGGCACCCCACACGGTCCAGTGGGTGTGTGAAAGGTTCTTTAATTGACTGCTGGTTTTGATTCCCAAACTCCTTCTCTGACTTGATATCCTAAAGTTCATAGGACCACAGGAAGAAATTTAGGGGGTTACCCTAGGCTCCCAACCATCTGTAGAAGAAGGTTAGAGCCTGAGGCCTTGAAAGGAGAGATGGCCGGGGCCTGGGGTTGGGCATGGGGACTGGACAGAGACCGAGATTGTGCACTGACCAACCACAATAGCAAAGCATCAGAGGACATGGGTGCTTCTGACCTCATCAGGGGCTCAATGTGCATTTCAAAGCGTTCGTCAAACCAAACAGACTCTCCCGGAATGTGGAGGCAGGTAGAGCACTCCGTGGGCCCCAGATGAACAGATACACTTTCTTAGAGTCCCTGGGGCAGTGGCAGGTCCTTTAGCGGATCCTGGGCTTCTCCTGAGAGTCATTCTGGCTGGACTCCTGGTCCAGAAGGGAGGCCACCAGCCACATGTAAGCAGACAGACAGCTACTAGACCCAGCTTCAGGTATCGAACCCTCATCTCTGGCCCAGACGATGGTGCCCTAGCAGGCAGTAGATTGGCTCTGACACCAAGAGCTAGGAAGGAGGAAGGGCTGGGGTCATCAGACAACCCCAGCACCCCCTGTCCTGGTAGCTTCCGTTCCTCCCCCAACCCTTCACACCGCACCCCCTCCCAACACCTTACCTCTTGCCTCCCCAGCCACCTGCTAACCACTAGAAGGAACTCTGCCCAGGCCTGGGCTGGAGGCTGAAAGGATGGAAGAGGTGGCAATTGTGTCCTGTGGTCCCCCAGAGGAGACTGTTGGCCAGCGAGGTCTTTCATACCAGCCCAGTTACACCAGGGGTCTCATCACAAGAGAACACACTGTGACCGCCTCTGCGCAGGCGTCTTGGCAAGCCTCACCCCCACTTTGGCATCCAGCCCAGAGCCTGGCTGACAAGGGAGATGTGGATTTAAGCCTCAAGGGGACAGGAGGGTGAGGAGGGAGTGGCTGTGTGCCAGGTCTGATGTGGATGAGCAGGAGACCCAGAGGGGAAAGAAGGGGCCACTTGGAACCTCCTGGGTCAGAGAGAATTTACCATTCCGACAAAAGTGAGTATTTGGTGTAGTCAACCCTTGAAACCTCTCAGGGTTGGATTTCTTTTTTCTTTTCTTTTCTTTTTTTTTGAGGTTGTTACCAACGAAAATACATGAAAATTTCTTCCATAAAATATCAGAGTTCAGGGCTTCCCTGGTGGTGCAGTGGTTGAGGGTCCGCCTGCCAATGCAGGGGACAGGGGTTCATGCCCCGGTCCGGGAAGATCCCACATACCGCAGAGCGGCTGGGCCCATGAGCCATGGCCGTTGAGCCTGCGCATCCAGAGCCTGTGCTCCGCAACGGGAGAGGCCACAGTGAGAGGCCCACGTACCACAAAAAATAATAATAATAATAATAAATAAAATAAAAAGTAGATTTACATGTCCCAGTTATAACAAGTATACTTAGAAGTTTTCTGGGACTTTCCTGGTGGTCCAGTTGTTAAGACTCCGTGATCCCAATGCAGGGGGCCCCAGGTTCAATCCCTTGTCAGGAAACTAGATCCCACATGCCGCAACTAAAGATCCCACACATGGCAACAAAGATCCCACATGCCACAACTAAGACCCAGTGCAGCCAAATAAATCAATAAATATATTTTTTAAAGTTTTCCAAAAACTGAATTGTTTCCATCTTAAATTTTAGATTAAATTAAATTAAATTAAAATTTCAATTCCTCACTTGCACTAGATATGTTTCACTTGCTCATCCACCATATTGAATGGCAGGGGACTATAGGCTGATTCTGAAAGTCGAATATCTGTTACCAATGTTTACAATATTGCAACTACGTAAGTATTGTTTCCTATAAAATCTAGTAGTAAACTAGGACTACTTTCCTTTTATTGTTCATTAAACTTTCCTAGGAAATACTATATAGGAAATGAAATTTCTGAATCTTTTTATGTCTGGAAAAGTCATTATTCTGCCTATAGTGGGTAGAATTGTGTCCTCCTCCAAAAAACAGATTCAACTCCTGACCCCTGGTACCTGTGAATGTGACCTTATTTGGAAATAGGGTCTTTGCAGGTTAAAGTGAGCTCATACTGGATTAGGATGGGCCCTAATCTAGTGACTGTTACCCTTATAAAATAAGGGAAATTTAGGAATAGAAGACACAGGGGAGAGTGCCATGTGAAGATGGAGGCAGAGGTTAGACTGATGTGTCTACAAGCCAAAAATGGCAAGAGTTGTTAGCAACCACCAGAACTAGGAGAGAGGCATGGAACATATTCTGCCTCAGAATCTCCAGAGGAAATCAACCTGAATTTTGGACTACTAACCTCCAGAACTGTGAGAGAATAAATTTCCGTTTTAAGCTACCTAGTTTGTGGTAATTTGTTACGGCAGCCCTAGGAAACTAGTACAATGTCCTTGGGCTTGATTGATAGTTTGGCTGGGTATAAAAGATTCTAGATTTAAAAAAAAAAGATCCAAAGCTTGAAGGCATGTTCCATCATCTTCTAGCTGTCGTTCCTGTTGGCAAGAGTATGATTTTTTGATCCTTGTTAACTGTAGTAGTTGGAATTCTTAGTCTCAGAAAACAGAAACCAGACTGTGGTAAACTTAAGGAGAAAAACAATTCACTGGTTAAATATCATGCAGTTTACAGAATAGATGTGAAAGCTAGAGAACCAAGCTCAGGCTATAACCAAGGGAGACAAGATGTAGCCAAAGACTATCCCAGGAATGGCTGTCCTAGAATGTCACCACTCTTGCTACCAAAACAGAAACCTTGACACTGTGGAACACTGTGGTAGTTTAAATATGGCCACAAATTCTTTTCAGCTCCTTCCATTAGGAAAAGGAATCTATTTCCCCACTTATTGAATCTGGGGTCATTTTATGACTTGATCTGACCAATGGAATGCTGCAGAAGTGACACTATGTGACTTCATAACCTCAGCCTTAAGAGGCTTTGCAGCTTCCCCTCTTACTTGTAATGCTTCCACCAACATATGAAGAAGTCTGGGATGAAAGATTACATGGAGAGAGAGGCCTAGTCTCCTAGCAACTCCAGCCATCCCAGATGAGGCCCAGACATGTAAGTGAGATAATCTTAGACCATTGTCTCAACTAAGCAACCAGCTATCAACAGCCACATATGTGAACTCATAGATCATTAGAAAAACTGCCCTGTTGATCCACAGAATTGCAATAAATACTAATTGTTGTTTTAAGTCACTATGTTTCAAGGGAAGTTTATTATGAAGCAATACCTAATAGATACAGACGTCCTGCCCAGTTCACACTAGCCATAGAGAAAACTTTGTGATCATGATGTGAAGTTTCAGAGTTCATGAAATAACCACCTGATTGAACCCTCATAGGTCATATGCTATGTTCTAGCCTCCATGGGGTAGGAAGGAGAACTACTGGACCCATTTTGGATTCCATAGTGGGAGGCAGAATCCTCACTCTGCCTATCTTGAATCTGTTCCCAACAGAAAGAAGTGTTTTTCTCTCTCTCTCATCACAGTGCATATTGGCTTGGCTATCTCTCTCTCTCTAGGTTTTTTTTTTTCTCTCATCTTTTTATTGATAGTAAGCATTATGGCAGGAGTCTTTTTCTGCCATATATAGCTAGTTACAAATGGCTAGTATTTTTTCAACTAAATAGAAATGTATTTCTTATTCATATAGGTTAAAAATAGATAGGAATAGGGTAGTGTCTCTATTCTATGAAGTATTTAGACCTCCAATAAGATAATAATTGAGTCTCTGTCATCTTCAACATAAGGATTCCAAGATTTTCATGGGTACCAACACACAACAGGGTGTAGGGGAAGAGAAAGAGAATTGTATGTGGGAGAATATTTACACCAGGAATGGAAATAGTACACAAGATATCTGTACACATACAACGAACAGAAATAAATTACATTGCCATACCCAACTACAAGACAACCTGGAGAATGCGGTTTTATGTTTCCTCAGGAATAAGAGATGGGTTTGCTTAGCATCCAGCCAGTCTATGCGGTATCACTACCTCTACTTCCACAATTGCCTTATCCTTAGTCTACTCTCAATATCAGTTCTTGTGCAAAATACAAGATCAAACTGGCTAACTGGTGATTTCTGACTATTTCTCTAAGATATATTGGATTTTAAATTCCAATTAAGTTTGTTTCATCAAATAATAAAGCTTTTGACAAAAGAGGATGTTGTTACATTTTTCTGCAAAATCAACCATTCTAACGGGCTGTTTTTTTAGTCTCTTAATACAGTTTCCTGATTTTCCGTCAAAAACATTAGGCTAGGGCTTCCCTGGTGGCACAGTGCTTAAGAATCTGCCTGCCAATGCAGGTGACACGGGTTCGAGCCCTAGTCCGGGAAGATCCCACATGCCACAGAGCAACTAAGCCCATGTGCCACAACTACTGAGCCTGCACTCTAGAGCCCACAAGCCACAACTACTGAGCACATGTGCCACAACTATTGAAGCCCATGAGCCTAGAGCTCGTGCTCCACAAGAGAAGCCACAGCAATGAGAAGCCCGCACACCACTACGAAGAGTAGGCCCCACTCACCGCAGTTGGAGAAAGCCTGCGTGCAGCAACGAAGACCCAATGTAGCCAAAAATAAAATAAATAAAATAAATAAATTTATTTTAAAAAATAGGCTACTTTAAAAAATCTCAATGCTTGTCTATAAAAAAAACTCTGTTGTATATGAATATATGCTGCTTTTCTTTTTCTTTTTTTAATGCCTTTTAAATTTATTTATTTATTTATTTATGTTGCACCATGTTTTAGTTGTGGCAGGCAGGCTCCTTAGTTGTGGCATGTGAATTCTTAGTTGTGGCATGCATGTGGGATCTAATTGCCTGACCAGGGATTGAACTTAGGCCCCCTGCGTTGGGGAGCGCAGTCTTACTCACTGAACTACCAGGGAAATCCCTGCTTTTCTTTTTCTCAATGACATTTTTTCCAGTTTTACTGAGTTATATAGTCATATGACATTGTAGTCACTTAATAAGTAGGTACAGGGAATTTCCTGGTAGTCCAGTAGTTAGGACACTGTGGTGGCATGGGAGTAATCCCTGGTCAGGGAACTAAGATCCACAAGCCACACAGCGTGGCCAAAAAAAAAAAAAAATCAGTAGGTACAGAAAAATAATTTGACAGGGCTTCTCTGGTGGCGCAGTGGTTGAGAGTCTGCCTGCCGATGCAGGGGACATGGGTTCGTGCCCTGGTCCGGGAAGATCCCACATGCCACGGAGTGGCTGGGCCCGTGAGCCATGGCCGCTGAGCCTGCGCATCCGGAGCCTGTGCTCCACAACGGGAGAGGCCACAACAGTGAGAGGCCCGCATACCGCAAAAAAAAAAAAGATTTGACATATGTCTATATTATGAAATGATTACCACAATAAGTTTACTTAACATTCATCAGCTCACAAAGTCACAAATTATTTTTTCTTAAAGTGGTGACAACTTTCAAGATCTACTCACAATACAATCCTGTATTGTATTCAAATATACAATACAGGATTGCAGTGATGGATGAACAATTCTAAACACAGTTTTAAAAAACCTTGAGTTGAGTACTTTAAGTGGATGAATTTTATGGTATGTGAATTATATCTCAATACTACTATAGCTAGAAAGCTATTACCCTAGCATGCAACTTTCTTTGGTGAGTTCATGCATATCTTAACTCATCAGCAGTTCTTCCACATGTCTAAAATTAAAATTCTAATTACTATAATGTTTTAATTGTGGTAAAAATCTACCATCCAAATCATTTTTAAGTGTGTCGTTCAGTTAGTGTTAAGTATATCAGCATTGTTTTGAAACGTCTTCAGAACTTTTTCATCTTGTAAAACTGAAACTCTATACCCATTAAACAATAACTCCCCCTTCGTCCTCCCTCAGCCCCTGGAAACCATCACTATATTTTCTGATCCTATGGAGTTGACTACTCTAAAGAGGAATTATACAATATTTATCTTTTTGTGTCTGGTTTATTTCATTTCGCAAACTATCATCAAGTTTCATCCATGTTGCAGCATATGATAGGACTTCCTTCCGTGTTATGTCTTTAAATTTTGTTAAATATTAACTACATATAAAAGAACTATACCAAGAAAACAAACACCCATGTACCTATCTTAATGAATAGAACATTAATGCCAGGGTGGGAAAGGGGAGGGGAGGGATAAATTGGGAGATTGGGGTTGACATATACACACTACTATATATAAAATAGATAACTAATTAGGACCTACTGTATAGCACAGGGACCTCTACTCAATACTCTGTAATGACCTACATGGGAAAAGAATCTAAAAAAGAGTGGATATATGTACATGTATAACATTCACTTTGCTGTACAGCAGAAACTAACATAACATTGTAAATTAACTATACTCCAATAAAAATTCAAAAAAAAGAACATTAATACCATTGAAGACACTGGGTGCTCCTTTTTCCCCACCCAGATGTTAATGCTACTAGGAATTTTGTGTTTATCATTCCCTTGGCTTTTTCTTTTTACCACATCTATGTATAACTAAACAATATATCATTTAATTTGTGTTTTTGAATGTTATAGATATAATCATATCATATGTATTTTTGTGCAACTGCTTTTTTTATTCAGGTGAAATTCACATAACATACAATAAACCATTTAAGTGTACGATTCTGTGGCATGTAGTGTATTCAGTGTTATGCAGCCACCAACTCTCTCTACTTCCAAGACTTTTTCAACATCCCATAAAAACACACTGTACCAATCAAATAATCACTCACTATTCTCCCTGCCCCCAACCCCTGGTAAGCCTGAATCTGCTTTCTGTTTCTTTGAATTTGCCCATTGTGGGTATATCACACAAAATGAATCATACGGTATGTGACTTTTTGTGTCTGGCTTTGAAACCTCACAACTCAGATGGGATTCGAACCCATCCAAAACTCAGGTTGGGACCTGAACCCACTGTCTTTTTTTTTTTGACCATGCCACTCAGCTTGTGGGATCTTAGTTCCCCGGCCAGGGATTGAACACGGGCCCTCAGCAGTGAAAGCACCAAGTCTTAACCGCTGGACTGCCAGGGAATTCCCTCAAACCCACTGCCTTTTAATTGAAACTGCACACCTGATCTCAGGACTTAATGAAGCTCAGGCTCTTTATGTCTCAGTACAGAAGGAATTCAGTGAGAGGCAAAGTGATAAGTAAGAAGTAGATTTATTGAGAGAGATACACACTCCATAGAGTGGACCATGGACCATCACAGAAGGCGAGAGGCCCTGGGAGATGCACATTCCATAGACAGAACTCAATCCATCTCAAAAGCCTTGAGATTGGCCCTGAAATATGGGGTGGTTAGTGTTTATGGGCTGGGTAATTTCATAGGCTAACAACTGGGAAGATTATTAAAACTATTTGGGGAAGGGTCCGGGATTTCCAGGATTTAGGCCACCAAAATTTCTATTTTGGCTTTTTTTTTTTTTTTGGCTTATATATAGAAATTTATTTCTCACAGTTCTGGAGGCTGGGAAGTCCAAGATCAAGGCCCCAGCAGACTGGGTGTCTGGTGAAGGCCTGCTTCCTGGTTCATAGACAGCTGTCTTCTCGCTGTGTCCTCACATGGTGAAAGGGATGAGGGAGCTCTCTGGGGTCTCTCTTATAAGGGCACTAATCTCACTTATAAGGGCTGTGATTGGGGGTTAGGATCAACACCTTAACATTCAGCCTACAGCCCAGGCTTAGCACAGTAATGGCACAATAAAAGATGATTATTTGAACATGAATTCAACTGAAATTCAAGTAGAACAAAACTCCAAACCATATACTTACTCTATAGCTTAAAAAAAACTGTTCAGGGCTTCCCTGGTGGCGCAGTGGTTGAGAGTCCGCCTGCCGATGCAGGGGACACGGGTTCGTGCCCCGGTCCGGGAGGATCCCACATGCCGCGGAGCGGCTGGGCCCGTGAGTCATGGCCACTGAGCCTGCGCGTCCGGAACCTGTGCTCCACAACGGGAGGGGCCACAACAGTGAGAGGCCCGCGTACAGCCAAAAAAAAAAAAAAAACCTGTTCACTGTCATCTCCTCTACTAGAGGGAATTAAAGCTGGCCTGTTAAGTTGCCTGACAGGACCACTAAATGTCTAAATTGGGAATCGACTATATTCTATCCAGTTTAACCCTCTCTGTTAACACGGGGAAACAGAGGTCCAGGGAGTTCGAGAAAGTTGCCCAGAGACAGACAACTACTTTTGAGCTGGGCCAATTGTAAGACCAGGGTTCCTTTCACTAACCAACATCTTTTCATTTATGTGGCCTTTCACAGTTTACGAAGCACCTCCTCAGCTCCATGGCCTCATTTATTGTACTATATCCATGAGCTTACAGAGGTGGCTTTTGGGAGATTTTCTGCATCCTCAGACCAGTGTTGCCATAGCTTATTCTATACTGACCCTTAAATTTAAAAAATATATATGTACACACACATGTAAATGTGTGTGTACATATATATGCACATATGGAAGACACGGCACCACATCTCCCTGTGTCACCCCATGCAGGCCACACCCTGGCAGTCACAAAGCACAAAGAGAAAATGGTCTTCGGTTTCAGAGTTCCCGAGTTGCCACTGATGCTTCAATACTAAAGGGCTTAGAAGTGTTTACACTTTCAAGAGGAGTAGGAATGTTTTAGGCTTCCCTTTAACGAGTCTCATTTTGAGACAGGATGGCAAGGTTGGCCAGCCACTCTTCATGCAGTTTTTGTAGTAAGTCTTTCAGAGAATGAATGGTGAAGCCAATTCATTTCTCCTCCTGGAATTTGTCCTTCTTCTTTTTCTCTGTTGTGAGGTTATATTTTAAAGGTATGGGCATACAGACATGAAAGATACGGGCTATCACGTGAGGGAGGAAATCAGACAATAAATCAAAAGAAACCTACAGAAATTAAAAATCTGAACTCAGGGGCAGGGCAGGAGGCGACACGGTCTTTTCACAGAGCCGTTACACATAATGCAACTGTCCTCAAAAGCAGGAATGGAGAAGACTAGCCATTCAGCTGCAGAAGGAAGCTGGGGTCTTGGCTTTAGAGCTTTCACTGTCTTTAGCATTAGGCTGGGCAGCAAGTGCCTTTTCCAGAGTAGGCCAGAGAAGATAAGTCCAGTTTGGTTTTTAAGGCTTGGGTCAGCTCTGTGGCCAGCAGCTCGTGGAGGGACACACCGTCGTGGGAGTACACCCAGTTTCTCCCAGTCCAGTCGTAATGCTTGGGGCCGCTGGATGGTGAAGATAGCCAGATTTGCTTGTTTGGGGTCTGCTTGTTGATCACGTACGTTCCTAGATCTCCACCCAGATTAATTGTTAAAACACCACTCCCAAAGGAGACCTCATAGCCTTCAAATGTGTAAGGTTTGTCTGCAAGGTCTTCAAAGAGCTCTGCTAAGGAGTCCAGCATCTCCTCGGCCAGTCTTTCATAGGTGGTATCGTCCAGAGGGCCAGCGTCACCCAGAGTTCCTGTTGTCCTCAAATCCATCCAACAGACACACTGCTTTTTGACATTCAGGATCTGGTTGAGGCAGCAGAGGCTCGGACTGGGCTGGCTGGGTGTGCTGGCCGCGGCGGTCCCGGTGCGCAGGCCCCGGCAGCCGTAGAGCCGGGGGTCTTTCGTTGGCTGCGGGGCCACGGCGCGGGCCTGGGCAGAGCCCGGGGGCGCCGAGCAGGGCAAGAGGCTGGCAGCCGCTCGGCGCCCAAGCGTCCACATGCTCCTCGCAATCTGCGGCCGCTCATTTTGGCCTCTTAAGGCTGCCCTCGGAACTGTCCTGACGCTGGTGGGTGTGTCATTTAGCATATGCTGATGTATCACAACGAGCGTGTAATGAGGCTCAAGGTCCATTGGAAGTTGAATTTTCCACCACCTTGGGCCTAGTTTGTTCTAACCAGTTTATGTCATATCCTCAACGGCTAAGTCATTCTTTTAAAGGTTGTGCCCTGCCCCCTTCCCTCCTGTTTCATCTTCTTTCGCTTAGCATGTTTTTGAGGTTCTTCCAAGTTGTAGCATGTATTAATACTTTGTCCCTTTTAATGGCCGCATAATATTCCATTGTATGGACACGCCATAGTTTGTCCATTCATTTGGGTTGTTTTCACCTTTTGGCTATTGTGAATAATACTGCTATAGACATTTGTGTTCAAGTTTCCATGTGGACATATGTTTTCATTTCCCTTGGGTATCTACCTAAGAGTGGAATTGCTGGCTCACATGCTAATTCTATGTTTAACTTTCTGATGAACTGCCAAACTGTTTTCCACAGGAATGATGCACTGAGCTGCTGCCCATGGAACTCACTGGCCTTATCACATACTCACCCAGTTCATGGAAGTGCAGGAGATCTGTGAAGACTTAGTTTTGGCTCCAGATTTAGAAAAATAATAAATTAAAAGATAACCTGAAAACTCTTTTACAACAAAAATCCAGACTGCTGGTCAAATTAAAATTTTTAAAGTATTAAAATTTTTAAATTGTACCTATTTTTGAATGTATAATAGGGGTCTGTGGTACATAGTCCAAAAGGTATTAAAAAGTAAGTGAAAAGAAAGAATCTGTTCCCCACCTACCCAGTCTCTTCCCCAGAGGCAACTACCATTCCTAATGTCTTGTGTATCTTTCCTGAGTTAATTGGTAATTTTGCAAGCATATACATATATATTAATAAAAATTATTTTAAATGCAGAGCAGAGGAAAAAGAAAACAGGAAGTGGGACTTCCCTGGTGGCACAGTGGTTAAGAATCTGCCTGCCAATGCAGGGGACATGGGTTCAAACCCTGGTCTGGGAAGATCCCACATGCCGCGGAGCAACTAAGCCCACGCGCCACAACTAATGAACCTGCGCTCTAGAGCCTGCGAGCCACAACTACTGAAGCCTGTGTGCCACAACTACTGAAGCCCGCGTGCCTAGTGCCCGTGCTCCACAACAAGAGAAGCCACCACGATGAGAAGCCTGAGCACCGCAATGAAGGGTAGCCGCCACTCCCCGCAACAAGAGAAAGCCCGCGTGCAGCAAAGAGGACCCAACGCAGCCAAAAATAAAAATAAATTTAAAAATTAATTAATTAAAAAGAAAACAGGAAGTCCCCAGATGCCAGAAATGAAAAGAGAACTGAAAAACAGCATGGGGAGCGCTTGAGCTGCCTAAGAGGCTACCCAGGAACTTAGGAGTTTAATGCTCATGTGGGCAGAGGACCTTGATCCCAGGGGAGGCAGAGAATTGGAACAGAGGCCCCTACAAAGCCCTGGAAACCTCAAAGAGCTGAACCTTCAGCGAAAAGCTGGGCTAGAAAAACATTCACCCGCCAGCATAGGGTGAAATAAGGAGGCTTATCTCTTTTGTCCAATGGGAAAAGTGCTTCCCCCAAGACTCAGTCTGGGCCTGCACTTTGCACAGGGTTGGCTCTAAATTTACACCACCTGCATGATCTGGGGAACCAGGCAGAGAAATGAGTGTAAATATTCCCCCTGAGCCATGGAAGTCAAGTCTGGCCCTTCCTCACCTGGCACTGTCTTCACAGGTAAAAGAATGAGGCCAGAACTTTATTCAGTACCAGGCTGATTGCTATACAATTTCCTCTTGCCCTTTACCCCTGAACGTCCCCAGAGCCCTGCTGCTCCTGCTGCTGCAACCCCAAGACTCCCCTGCATTCAGGCCCAAAGGACGAGGACTTGTTTTACCCAGCAGGGTGTCCCATGTGAACGGTGTGAGCTTGTCCACTCTAGCTGACTTCCATTTCTGCTTCTGTGCTGTGTATGGACAGAATCTCCATTGGTCTGATTAACATCCTCCCAGTAACGGGGCCACCTTCCTTGCTTTTCTGCTCCAAATCCAAAGTGGGCATCCTGGTGGATGAGAGAGGGATGTGTGTCAGCAGGCTGAATCCTGTCCTCATCCCACCTCCCCTCATTCAACATCGAGGGTGACAGGCTGCCTCCTGGAGCTGGGAGGAGAACGGAGCTCACCTTCCCCAGAGGAGACAGACACTGAACACACAGAGGGACCCCGGAGCCCAGAAAAGACAGCACCAGCTAGCTGATTCTCATCATATTGGAGGAAGAGAGAGGATTCCCTAGGGAGACAAGAAGAGGGCATTCCAGGCAGAGGGAACAGCGTCTGAAAAGGCATGAAGCAGATGGTGTGTTTGGGGAACACTGAGAAGCCCATGGTGTGAGCCTGGGACAGAGGAGGGGAGGGGGGAGGGGTCAGACCATGCCAGGTCTTGGAAGCCAGACAGGAGCTTTTTTTTTTTTTAAAGTAGCACTTAAATTAGTGTGATTGAATCATTGGAGGAAGGTGTGTATTCAGCAGTGGATGGTGATCCTAGAGGCCGTCTTAGAATTGCACCTACTGCACTCACCAGTGCCAAAGTGAAAGCTTTGCTTGTCTGCTGGTGCCTGACTTCCATCCTCCCCTATGTGACAGAGGATGTCACAAGCCTGCATCTGACATTAATTAATTAATTTATTTTTGCTGTGTTGGGTCTTCATTTCTGTGTGAGGGCTTTCTCTAGTTGTGGCAAGTGGGGGCCACTCTTCATCACGGTGCGTGGGCCTCTCACTATCGTGGCCTCTCTCGTTGTGGAGCACAGGCTCCAGATGCGCAGGCTCAGTAGTTGTGGCTCATGGGCCTAGTTGCTCTGCGGCATGTGGGATCTTCCCAGACCAGGGCTCGAACCCGTGTCCCCTGCATCGGCAGGCAGATTCTCAACCACTGCGCCACCAGGGAAGCCCGACAGGAGCTTTTAAACTCTATGCTGAAGGCATAGCAGGGAAAAGTTTTAAGTGAGGAAAGGACAAGAATCTTTAACTGGGTCACAGGTGTGCAAGGCACAGAACAGAGCCACGAGCCCCTGGGATGGATACTGACCCTTTTATCCAGCCTGTTGCCCTGGGTGTACCTGAGGAAAGTGGGGCTGATCACCAGGACCTGGGGAAGAAGGGGGAGAGGGACAACCTGGGGCCCTTCCCACAGCAGCCCGAAGCTACATCTTCCTGCCTCTCATCCCCTTACCTGGTCTTTTCTATCTTCCATTCTACTAGGGAACTGGACCATCTTCCAAAATCTAAGGAAGAAGTAGGAGGTGGGGGAGTTTCAGCAGCCCCTGAGACCTGCAAAGGTCCTGCAGGTGCTCTCAATAAGCCAGCAGAGGGTCTCCCTGGAGCCCCCTCTGTCATCCCCTGCAGTGACCTCTCCTTACCCCCCATACTGAGAATGTCTGGGTTCCCAGACCATCACCTCTTCACTCAGAGCATCTGAAGTCCATGCCAGAACAAAGAGCCTCAGGAGCAGCAGATCCAGCTGCCTCCAAGAACCCTGGTCCCTGTCATTCCGGAGGGAGACGGACTGTCCTGTGGTTTGGTTCCCCAGCATCTCGAAGCCCTGAATAGGGACCTGGTTCATCCTGGGAAGGAAAGCAGAAACTGACAAAACTCTGGGGGCAGGCCTGGACGTCCAGTCCCCTGCCCCCTCCTCAGTGCCCACCTGGAGACCGCGGTGTGATTGGCACTCTTGCCGAGGCTGGCGGCCCACAGGATCTTCGAGTTCCCCACCGATGCACAAGTTCCACAGAAGAGATCAAAATGGCTCACCAAGGTCCTGGGAATCACCTTGAACAGCTTCTCCCACACTCTGCCCAGCTCGCTTGCTGAGTTCATGCCCTGAAAACAGCAGGAGGGAGGAGATTGGGGGTTGAGATCCAGGTATGGGCCCCCGGTGGAAGGAAAGCAGAGCTAGGTGGGTGAGACCTCCATCCGGAGGTCAGGGGTTGAGGCTGTGAAGATAGGAGGCACACGAAGCCAGGGCCGAGGGCAGGAGTTTGGGCCAGGAAGTGGGAGGTGGGCTGGGCCTGGGAAGGACAGGATGGGCTGGCCCAGTGTTGACCACTGACCGACCACGAGAGCACAGCGTCAGGACTGGTGGGCTCTGCTGCTCCCATGAGGTGCCCCATCGTCTTCTCGTAACCTACATCAAACCAGTTCCCTCCGGCCGTGTGGTGGCAGACAGAGTCGTTGAGGGTCCCGGATGGGCAGCCATATTTCCTGAACTTGAACGGAGGGCAGCTGCAACGCCATGGTACCACCTTCATCCATTTTTCGTGGGGTGCCGATTCCGGCTTCAGATCCAGGCAGGGGGCCATCAGCCACAAGATGAGCATCAAGGAGATGCACAGGACAAAAATCTGCCAGCAGCACTTCATGTCTGGCCCAGGCAAAGGCTCCAGTGGCAGGCAGCTGACTGGCTCCTCTACCTGGGACTGGGAGGGGTGAGGAACTGAGGCCACAGTTAGCCCCCCAACCCTCTGTCTTGTTGGCTTCCACAGCTCCCCAGCCCTCCACACCACACCTCCTCCCAACCCCTCATCTCCCACTTCCCTATCCATTTGCTCCCCTCCAAAGGGGACTCTGGCTGGGCCTGGGATGGGAGGTGTGAGAGCAGAGAGATAACATATGGTGTGTGCCCTATCCTCCCTGCAGGAGGAAGGCTGAGCTCTCAGTGGGGTCCTCAGTGCCACTGGGTATATCATGGCTCTCATCACAAAGTACACATTGTGACCTCCCTACTTTAGGCACAAAGCCACCACCCTAGCCTGTCTGTTACACACAAGCTGCCTGCACTGAGTGCAAGATGCACGCGGATAGAGACTGACCTTGACTGTCTTCTTTACCTCCGAATCCCTAAGACTGAGAATCATGTAATAAATATTTACAGGAAACAGGAACAGAGTGGAGAGGGAACCGTAGATACTATTTATGTGTGAAGCCCCCTCTCCAATAATGTATCTTCGGCTCAGGCCTCTCTTCTCTTCTCTAGACCCCATACCCAGCAGCCTGTCGCACCTCAGCTTAGATGTCTCAGAGACCTGTCACCCTGAGCAAGCCGGAGGCAGAACTCATGATGCTCCCTTTAAACCAACCCCTTCCCAAGACTTCTCTATCTCAACAGATGTTCCTCCATTCAGCCTGTTGCGGAAGCCAGAAACCCATGCGCTATCCTTGACTCCTCCTTCTCCTATGATTTCCAAATCATTTTTTAAAATTTATTTATTTTATTTATTTATTTTTGGCTGCATTGGGTCTTCAGTGCGGCGAGCGGGGCTATTCTTCCTTGCGGTGTGCGGGCTTCTCATTGCGGTGGCTTCTCTTATTGCAGAGCACGGACTCTAGAGCACGGGCTCAGTAGTTGTGGCGCACAGGCTTAGTTGCTCCACGGCATGTGGGATCTTCCCAGACCAGGGCTCGAACCCGTGTCCCCTGCATTCTCAGGCGGATTCTTAACCACTGCGGCACCAGGGAAGCCCTCCCAATCATTTTTAATCTATTTGTTTCTATCTCCAAACCACCTTCTTCATCTCCAGTGTCACTCCCTTAATTCAATCTTGGCCTGTGGAATATGTTAAAAAACAAAATGAAAAATTTTGAGTTGTTTTTAAGGTTTCAGAAGACAAGGAGGGTCAGAAATCATGCAATTTTACTTTTAAATCAAAATGTTTTCTTCCATAGGAGGAGAACAGTAAAACAGTTATCATAACTAGTGAAAATCTGCACTGGGTATTTTATAGATTAAAAAAAATTCACCAAAAAGTCTGAGTAAGGGACTTCCTTGGTGGTGAATTTTCAAATTCTTAATGGTGTCATTTGAAGTGCAGAAACTTTAATCTTGGTGGAGTCCAATTTATTATGTGGATCATGCCTTTGTATCATATGATTTGCCTAACCCAGGATCATGACGGGTTAGGGGTTACCTAGGTTCAACATAGTTTAGTGGTCAAGCCAATGATTGGTTGTAGGTTATGCTTAATTAAACAACTTGAGCTTGTAAGTCTTCGGCCCTTTACTAGTGGATCTCCATGTGGTTTGGAGAACACATTGACAATTCAGGCAGTTTACAAATTCACCCCCCTTTTGCTTTCTGCACGCTCGGGGTCTCACATTCAGCCAGGGATGACTAGATATCTAGGACACTCTCCAATCTCTCCTGAGCATGTGTATAGGCTTATGCAAGTGGGCAGCCTTCCCGACCACCAGGGATGCATGAACGCTTATTAAGACCCACTATGGCTATCTTGTTCCCAGATTTCTCTGTTAAATTTCTGGCTGGCTTACTGGTCTGTTGCTTGTTCCAACCAGTATCATGACCTCAGGATAGCTGCAGGGTTGGCTTTCCTTGACTGCTTGCCACTAGGTTGCTATTATTTTCAACAACACCCACAGGCAAGGGTTTTCCAAGCTCTGCTCCAAATCAAATCGGCCCCTTCCAAGGGCAAATCTCCTAGTGCTCACAAACGTCACCACTCTGGTAGGACTCTCACCACAGAGCTGGAGTGGGGAAGATGGGAGCAGTCACTGCCTAAAATGCCATGAAATCTCATTGTTCTTACTGAGCTTTGATAGGTTCTCTCAGATAAATGCTTCTCAACTTGATGTACGCCTTTGGTCAATTTCCAGAGTCCTAAGGTGATTGCTATGGCACTTTTGTATAGTTTCATCATTGTTTTTTTTTTTAAAGATCTTTTTTTAAAAATTTATTTATTTATGGCTGTGTTGGGTCTTCGTTTCTGTGTGAGGGCTTTCTCTAGTTGTGGCAAGCGGGGGCCACTCTTCATAGCGGTGCACGGGCCTCTCACTATCGCGGCCTCTCTTGTTGCGGAGCACAGGCTCCAGACGTGCAGGCTCAGTAACTGTGGCTCACGGGCCCAGTTGCTCCGCGGCATGTGGGATCTTCCCGGACCAGGGCTTGAACCCATGTCCCCTGCATTGGCAGGCAGATTCTCAACCACTGCGCCACCAGGGAAGCCCCCATCATTGTTTTTTTAAAGAGAGGATTTGCTGGGCTTCTCAGTCATTCTGGAAGCCCCATCCCTTAACCAATGCTCTCAACCATATGCTCTCAATCCACTGTTAATTTTTCTCTTCTATTATTATAAAATATTTCAAGGACACTGTAGTGAACAATATAATTAACAGCACTAGAGTTATGAATATGACATTATATTCATTATATAATGAACATAATGACATTCATGTAGCCACTATCCATTTTTTTTCAGATCTTAACATTTTCTGTTTTTGGTGTTCTGGTGTCTAGGTGTGAATATAAGCTTATTTGTTCCATTTGAATAGATTCGGGCTTCTTGAATATGAAAACTCATGCCTTTCATCAATTCTGGCTAATTCTCAGTCATATCTTTCCAATATTGCCTCTCCCTCATTCTCACTACTTGCTCCTACTAGAACTCCTATTAGTCATATGTTGGATTTCTTCATTCTGAAACTTTTATATCTATGATCTTATTTTTCTATACTACATGCTGGGTAATTTTTCCAACTCTTTCAGTTCCATATTTCTCTCTTTAATTTTGTCTAATTGGCGGCTTAACTCACTGATTTTTGAACTTAAATTACTATATTTTTCATTTCTAGAAATTATTTTACATTTAAATTTATTTTCAAGTATTCCTTCTTCATTACATTTTTATTGTTTCTTAAATATCTTTAATCACTATAAACTTACTGCTTTATAGTTTTTATCTGAAAGTTCTATGATCTCAAGTTGATAAGCATCTAATCATGCTGATGATGTTGTCTGTGAATCTTGATCATGCTGGATTGTGTCCTCATATGTTTGTAACGTTAGATCAGGTGCTCATTTTTAGCAGGGTTTTATCCTTGAGAATGCTATGTGGCTTAAATTGTGTGTGTTCCCTCAGAGCAGTTTCATGTTTGCATCTGCCAGGTACCCTCAATTTTATGCTAATTTCTCCACTTTGGAGCTTTCAGACTAAGCAGAGAATATAAATCCAAACCTCAAATGTGAGGACAGGCCTGTGATTATGATGTCACGGCAATGCTTAATTTTTCTGTGCTCTTGTGTTCCTATCCAGGACACAGGTTGAGACAATCTCAAGCCTTCTCTTTTTCTTCCTATACAAGTGGATAATTTTTTTCCAGACTAACCTTTTCCTATGGGTCTAGATCTGTCGGGACTCCATCTTTTTATTGAGGCCTCATCTGGCTGTCATCTCCTCTCTATGTAGGCATCAATATCCAATACCCAAAGAAGACCCCCACCCCTAGCTATTGGGTTGGCCAAAAACTTTTTGGCCAACCCAATATTTTGACAATGATTATAAGGCAAGTACAATATGGTCATGGGACAGTTCAGGCCATTTTACCGTGCTCAGGCTGTTTCGGTAAAATCAACCCCAGAGGCCCTGGCTCCTAGAGTACTTTGAGGTCCAGAAGAAATGGGTTGGAATCAGGCCCTGTCATTAATTCCTGTGATCTCCAGGCCACAGTTTCTCCTTCAGAAAATGGATATAAAAGTCACACCTGGGCTTCCCTGGTGGCGCAGTGGTTGAGAGTCCGACTGCCGATGCAGGGGTCACGGGTTCGTGCCCCGGTCTGGGAAGATCCCACATGCCGCAGACCGGCTGGGCCTGTGAGCCATGGCCGCTGGGCCTGCGCGTCCGGAGCCTGTGCTCCGCAACAGGAGAGACCACAACAGTGAGAGGCCCGCGTACCGCAAAAAAAAAAAAAAAAAAAAAAAAGTCACACCTACTTTACAGAGGTGATTCTCAAGCTGTAACTGCAGGGAATCACCTGGGAGCCATTCCTAGAGTTTCTGATTCATCAGGTTTGTGTCGGGGCACGATAACTTGCATTCCTAACCAATTCCAGGTGATAATGGGGCTGCCGCTTGGGGAGACTGAAAACCACTGTTCTAGGAGCTTCCAAGTTCCAAGAGTCTCATGTGAAACTCGAGGCGCAGTTCCTGGCGCAAGGCAAGCGAATGCTGCTATTACTGTGTCTACCCGGCGGAGTCCTCCTCCGGGGACCCTGTTCCGCAGAAGACCTACCCCCCCCACCCCGCCTTCCCTCGCTCCCTTACCGCTGGAGCCCTCTTTAGCCGCTGAACAGTAGTGCCGACAGCACGGATGGGCGGGGCGGCCTGCGTGAGAACGAGGGCGAAGGGTGGGGCCGAGCGTACGCATTGCTGCGCCTGCGTGCAGAGAGGGGGCGTGGCTCAAGCTCGGCCGGAAGCGGGAGGCTGCAGGGGCGGGCAGGCGGGCGGGCAGGTTGGCGTCCTCTTTCCGGCTGGTCCCCATGGAGGCACTGGGGAAGCTGAAGCAGTTCGATGCCTACCCCAAGACTCTGGAGGACTTCCGGGTCAAGACCTGCGGGGGCGCCACGGGTAGGCCGTGGCGGGGTCGGGGTGGCGGGGAGTGGGGTGTCCTAGAGGTTGGCTGGGGCGCCTGGAACCTGCCCGGCCTGCCAGGGGCTGAGGAAGAGGAACAGAGGCCCTCCTGACCCTCGCTCCCTGCCCGCAGTGACCATTGTCAGTGGCCTTCTCATGCTGCTACTGTTCCTGTCCGAGCTGCAGTATTACCTCACCACTGAGGTAAGGGGCGGGGCCTAGTACGTGGGCGGGGCTTGGCGTTCTAGAGGTAGGCGCTTTAGGGGATGGGAATGGGGAAAAAGAGGCTTGGGGCCAAATCTTACTGAGGTCGTCCTGCCCCAGGTGCATCCTGAACTCTACGTGGACAAGTCACGGGGAGATAAACTGAAGATCAACATAAATGTGCTTTTTCCACACATGCCATGTGCCTGTGAGTACCTCACCATGGGTGGGAGTTGCAAGTCCCAGGGTTCTCAGGTGGGCTTCCAGGTTCACACCTCCAGCCTTAGGTTCTGGACAGGACTCCAGGACAACCTCGTTCCCCTAATCCACTGCTGCCCCAAGACAAGCCCAGCATCCCCATTACCCTCCAAAACCCAGATTCCCTTGCCCTTAGGTTCCCAGTACCTTACCCTGATTTCCTGCTTCCAGATCTGAGCATTGATGCCATGGATGTGGCTGGGGAGCAGCAGCTGGATGTGGAACACAACCTGTTCAAAAAACGGCTAGATAAGGATGGCTTTCCCGTGAGCTCAGAGGCGGAACGTCATGGTAACTGGGGGGAAGAGACCAGATCTCAAATCCCAGAGCTGGACAAGCCCAAGCACTACCTTCTGGCAAGTGGGCTGTGACCAGCCCAGTGACAAATGAAACATCTAAGACCCAGAGAAGTCAAGTGGCTTGCCTAGGGTCCCCCAGCTATTAAGAATCAGAGTGGGCTGAAATCCAGTATTCTAGCCTAGTATTGAGAAGAGTACTCTTCAAGGCTGTCATTCTCAGAGGTCCCCAATCCCTGCCTGTTGTGGTCTGAGTAACAGAAGTTTGAGGATGGATCCTATGTGCTGTTGCCTTGGCAGAACTCCTCTAGGTGGACCCACGCTTCTCTGGGTGTTGCTTCCCTGTCCCATAGACTGACTTCAGCCCTGAATGCTCTTCCCTGGAATGAAGGATGGCTTAAGGTTGAGTTTGTTCTTGGGTTAGATTGCCTGCGTTCGGATGTAGCTTCGTCTCTTGCCATCTGTGACCTCAGCTATTAAGTGGTGATAAACAGTTATACCCACCACGTGGAATTGTAGGATCAAATGAAGTAATATGTGTACAATGCCTAGTACAGAGTGTCTGTTCACTTTTAGCTTCCTTTCTTCTCTCTGGGTGTCCTCCCAATGCCTCCATTAAGTCAGTTTTCCTCCATAACAAAACCTTCCTGAAAGCTATGATTTTTCACACCTTAGGGATTCCTCTGTTGGTGAGCTTTGTCATTTATTTGTTCAACAAACATATGTTGAACACCAGTAAAACCAATAGAATTGGCTGTAGGATTGGGTGTTGGGTCAAGGTTGATTCCAAGGCTTTGGTCTGAGGAAATGAATGACTTGATGACCAGAAAGGAGGAAGAGGATTTGTGTGTGTAGGTGGGAGAGGTGGGGGAATATATATCCACTACTGCATAACAAGTAACCCCCAAAGTTAGTGACTTAACAAACATTTTTTTTTCAGTTTCTATGGGTCAGGAATTCAGGAGTGACTTGGTTGGGCTGTTCTGACCATTGCAGTTGGCAACACGGAGGTCACTGGAGACAGAAAGGATTAGTTTTGATACTGTTGGGGATGAAAATCTAACCAAAGAGTAGAAAAGGAAGTGGAGACATCAAGTATAGATGACCCTTCCAGGAGTCTTGCTGTGAGACAGAGCGGAGAAGTAGGGTGGAGGCTGGAAGAGAGTGCATGCGGGTTGGTAGGTTTGGTGTTGAGATGAAGTGAGGTTCTGTTGCTTCTCTATTTTTAGTGGAAATTGAAAGCAAAGTCATTAGCTAAGAGTGGAGAAAGGGGAAGGGATTTTGGAAGCCCAAGGAAAGGGGAAAAGATAGAAATTAGTCATCGTGGGGAATGGGATAGTGAACTGATTATTGAAAGAAAGTAGGATTGTCAGGCAGTCTTAAGGGAGGCACAGGAAAGAAGTAGGCACAGGGAGTTGAACTCAACTAGGATTTAAGTTTTGCTAGACTTGTACGACAAAGGGAGAGAGGAACAAATGACTTGTGATTATGTGCAAGAGAATAATTGCAGCAGTGGACCAGAGAATTTATTTTCCAGCCTTGTAGAGATATAATTGAAATATACCATCGTGTAAGTTTAAGGTATACAACATGATGATTTAACATCATATTTGTTATAAGATGATTACCACAATAGGGTTCGCTAACACATCCACTACCTCACAGTTACCTTTTTTGTGTATGTGGTGAGAACATTTAAGATGTACTCTCAGGGGCTTCCCTGGTGGTGCAGTGGTTGAGAGTCCACCTGCCGATGCAGGGGACACGGGTTCCTGCCCCGGTCTGGGAAGATCCCACATGCCGCGGAGCGGCTGGGCCCGTGAGCCATGGCCGCTGAGCCTGCGCGTCCGGAGCCTCTGCTCCGCAGCGGGAGAGGCCCGCGTTCCGCAAAAAAAAAAAAAAAAAAAAAAAAGATGTACTCTCAGCAACTTTCAAGTATACAGTACAATATTGTTAACTATAGTCACCATGCTGTACATTAGATCCCTAGAACTTATTCATCTTATAAGTGAGAGTCTGTACCCTTTGACCAACCATTTCCCCATTTCCCCTATACCCCAGCCCCTGGCAGCCACCTGTCTACTCTCTGTTACTATGAATTTGTTTTTTTTAGATTCTACATATAAATGAGATCATACAGTATTTGTCTTTCTCTATCTGACTTATTTCCCTTAATATAATGGCCACAAGGTTTATCTATGTTGTTGCAAATGGTAGGATTTCCTTCTTTTTAATGACTGAATAATATTCCAATATATGTATATGATATATATAAAATATTCTAATATATATGATGTATGTGATATTCATTATATATATACACACCATATATATATATACACACCATATACACACACACACACACACAAACAAACCACATTTTCCTTATCCATTCATCTGCTGAGGGACACTTAGGTTGTTTTTTGTCTTGGTTGTTGTGAATAATGCTGCAATAAACATGGGAATACAGATATCTCTTCAGGATACTGATTTCTTTTCTTTTTTTGTATCTATACCCAGAAATGGGAGTGCTGGAACAAATGGTAGTTCTATTTTTAGTTTTTTGAGGAACTTCCATATTGTTTTCCATAATGGCTGTACCAATTTACACTCCCACCAACAGTGCACAAGGGTTCCCTTTTCTCCACTTTCTCATCAATACTTACTTCATTTTTGTTTTTGTTTTTTCTAATAATAGATATTCTAACAGGTGTGAGGTGATATCTTGTGGTTTTCATTTGCATTTCTCTGATGATTAGTGTTGTTAAGCACCTTTTCATGTTCCTGTTGACCACCTGTATGTCTTCTTTTGAAAAATGTCTATTCAAGTCCTTTGCCCATTTTTAATTGAATAAATTTAGTTTTTTGCTGTTGAGTTATATGAGTTCCTTACATGTTTTAGATATTAACCCCTTATCAGATATATCATTTGCAAATATTTCTCCCATTCCATAGGTTGTCTTTTCATTTTGTTAATTGTTTCTTTGCTGTGCAGAAGCTATTTACTTTGATGTAGTTGCACTTATTTTTACTTTTGTTGCCTGTGCTTTTGGTGTCATGTCCAAAAAACCATTGCCAAGACCAATATCAAGGAGTTCTTTCCCTATGTTTTCTTCTAGGAGTTTTATGGTATCAAGTCTTACATTTAATTCTTTAATCCATTTTGAGTTAATTTTTGTGAGGGGTATAATTTCAATCTTTTACATGTGAATATCCAGTTTTCCTGGCACCATTTATTGACGAGACTGTTCATTCCTCATTCGGACCATAAAATTTAAACACGGAGGGAAGTGACGATGTGAAGGGGTGATAGTGTCAGTGGTGTCAAAGAATTGGTAGATTCTGGGTACCAGAGAGAGTGATGTGGGAAAATGAGGATAAGATTGAAGATTGGGATACTTGAAATTGAATTTTGGAAGGTTTGTGGTAACTGGTAATAACTGAGTATGGAAATGCGTGGCTGAGGTTGGATGACAAAAATAGAAAGATTATTGGAGGACAGGAGATCAGGGTATTGAATATTGAAATCACCAGTTATGTTGAGGTAGTTAAAGGCAGGGAGCCAGGTGCAGAGAGAGCAGTCTGAGGACAAGCGCCATGGTTAAGGGCTTACGCTTTGGATTTAGAGCTGAAATCTGCCACTTACTGTGTTGCATTGGGCGAAATCACTTTTCATCTCTGAGCCTCAGCACCTTCTCAAGTACTATGGGGATAATAACCTCCACCTTCACAGGCATTGTGGGGTTGAAAAGAGACAGTATATGTAAAGTACACCGACCTGTACTCAGCTAATATTTAGTATTCACTGTTATTGTTTTATTACTATTACCGTTATTAAAAGAAATAATATACGTGTAGAAATGCTTAGTGCCTGACACATAGTAAACATGATGTAAATATTAGCTGTTATAATGTTTATTAACCCAAAGGGCCCATGCAAGGGTTAGGGGTATAGATTTCACTGTGCCTGCTCCCAGCTGATGCCCCTGCCTCTGCCCTCCCCTTAGAGCTCGGGAAAGTTGAGATGAAGGTGTTTGACCCTGATTCCCTGGACCCTAATCGCTGTGAGAGCTGCTATGGTGCCGAGACGGAAGACATCAAGTGAGCCAGGGTCGGGGGTGGGGGGTGGGGAGCTGGGCCCCCATCAGGTGTTTTTTGTCAGTCATCCTCAGCCTTTGTTGGACTCTGTGGTTTAGACCAAGAATTTAGACCAGACGGGACAGGCTGCAGCCTTGGTCCCTGATCCTGGTGCAGGCGACTGAGGCTCTGTGGCCAGGCCCTACCTGGGGGCTGCAGAGCTGGGGACGAAGTTGAAGTGGTCCTTGCTCTGGTTCAGAGGTAGTCTCTGGAGTCCAGCTGCCTGGGTTCTACCCATGGGTCCTTGGGCCAAGCTATGTAACCCTCTCTTGTGAAGGGGGACCATAATGGCACCTTTCTCATAAGAGTCACATAAGGAATATGAATGTAAAGCAGTGAGATGGAGGGCCCAGCACAGGTTATTAATTAAGCCTTCCATATATGGTAACTGCTGGTTTGTTTCTCAGGCCCTGACCCGTGAGAGGCTGATTCACCAGGTCTAGGGCAGGGCCTGGGAATATGTAGTTTTAAAAAAATTTTTTAGGTAAAATATATATGACATAAAATTTACCATTTAACCATTTTCATATGTGCAATCAGTGGTATTAACTACATTCATAGCATTGTGCAGCCATCACCACAATCTGATCTAAAACTTTTCATCACCCCAAAGAAAATGGGAATACGTTTTTTTTTTTTTTTTTGCGTACATGGGCCTCTCCCGTTGTGGAGCACAGGCTCAGCAGCCATGGCTCACGGGCCCATGTGGGATCTTCCCGGACCAAGGCCTGAACCCGTGTCCCCTGCATCGGCAGGCAGACTCTCAACCACTGCACCACCAGGGAAGCCCAGGGGAATACGTATTTTTAACAGTCCTGCTGCCACTGAGGAAACATACTTTGAGAACACTGGATGGTCAGGGCTGAGGCTGGCAGAGGCTTCATTAGTGGGCAGAACTGCTTTATTTCCCAAGGTGCCGGCACTGTTTCTGTGCCTCTTTGACATTCTCCCTCTGCACCTCCTCCCCTACAGGTGCTGTAACTCCTGTGAGGATGTGCGGGAGGCATATCGCCGTCGAGGCTGGGCCTTCAAGAACCCAGACACTATTGAACAGTGCCGGCGAGAGGGCTTCAGCCAGAAGATGCAGGAGCAGAAGAATGAAGGCTGCCAGGTGTACGGCTTCTTGGAAGTCAACAAGGTACAGGAGGAGCCAAGGCGGGACAGGGCCAGCTGGGGTGTGGGTTGGCCCCACTCCACTGTGAATCGAGGGGACAAAGGGAAGGGAGGAAACGGCTGGAGAATGAGAGGGCATCTCCCCTACAGGTGGCGGGAAACTTCCACTTTGCCCCCGGGAAGAGCTTCCAGCAGTCCCACGTGCACGGTAAGTGACCCGACATCAGCTGGGAGCTTTAGCCCCTGAACACCTGGCGAGTTTGAGTGCCCCTTCGGCTGCCTCCTGCTCTTTTGTCTTTGGCCCAGAGCAGACCCTGAACCCAGGGCAGCAGTTTGGTAAACAGTTAAGAGCACAGGCTGAGGAGCCAGACTGCCTGGCTTCAGATTTCAGTTTTAGACCTTACAGGCTGTCTGAAACTTTGAGAAATTTCCTTAACTTTTTGAGCTTCAGTTTCCTCCTTTTTAAAGTGGGGCTGATAGTACTCATCTCCTATGCTGTTTGGGCAGGTTAAAGATGATAGCACAGAGCCTGGCTTGTGGTAGGTACTTATTTAAATGGTAGCCCCCAGTATCAGATGACCTGTGTGTGAGGCTTTGGGGGAAGCAGAGCTGGTTTGGAACCCGGGTTCTGCCTCTCCCATGCTGTGTCGTATTTAGTACGTATTGAGCCCTACTCAATTTCTTCTTCTATAAAATGGGCCTGAAATAGTGCCTACCTTACAGGGTTGTTCACAAGGATGAATAAATGAGATTTATTCTCATTCATTTATTCATTCGTACATTCACTAGATATTTAGTAATCACCTGTTGTGTGCCATGTGCTAGTCTAGGTGCTAAGGATACAGCAGTGATCAAAACAAAGTCCCTGGGACTTCCCTCGTGGCACAGTGGTTAAGAATCCACCTGCCAATGCAGGCGACACGGGTTCGATCCCTGGTCCAGGAAGATCCCACATGCCGCGGAGCAACTAAGCCCGTGTGCCACAAATACTGAGCCTGCGCTCTAGAGCCTGGGAGCCACAACTACTGAAGCCTGTGTGCCTAGAGCCTGTGCTGCGCAACAGGAGAAGCCACTGCAATGAGAAGCCTGTGCACCACAATGAAGAATAGTCCCCACTCACCACAACTAGAGAAAGCCCACACGCAGCAATGAAGACCCAATGCAGCCAAAAAAAATTATTTTAATGAAAAAAAAGTCCCTGCCCTCAGAACATTCTAGTAAAGAAACAGACAATAAATAAGTATGTAAAATGTATATCAGATGCTATTAGGTAACTCAAACCCAAAAAAGGCAGGATAAGGATGATGGGGCCGAGAGGTTGGGTGAGACGGTGTGTGAGTACCATTCCATATCGGGTGGTCAGGGGAAGACTCTGATGGATGACATTTGAGTGAAGACCTGAAGAAAGTGAAGGGACCGGCCATGTGGATGACGGGGGTGAGGTGTTTCAAGCAGAGAGAATAGCAAGTGCAAATCCCTAAGGCAGGAATGTGCTTGGTGAACTCAGGGCACAGTGAGGAAGTGAGGGTGGCCGGAGCACAGTTAGCCAAGCTGCGTGGTTAGCAGTAAGATGAGGGAGGTAACAGGGCCCAGGAGGGCACTGCAGGGACTCGGGCTGCTGCTCTGCATGAGATGGAAGGCTGTCGTGGGGCTCTGAAGAAGAGGCACGTGATCTGACTTAATTTTGAAAAGACAGGCAGCCCTCTGCTCTGTGGAGAAGACGGTGGGCCCGGGTCGGGGGTGTGGCGGAGGAGGACAGAGGCAGAGAGGCCGATCAGGAGGCTGTTAACGGCAATCGGTTCAGGCACCAGGTGATGGGGGCGGGGCCAGAGTGGTGGTAGATGTGGTGAGAAGTGACTGCGGGTATTTTGAAGGTGGAGCTGCTGATGGATGCGAAGGTGAGAGAAAGAGGAGTCAAGATGACTCCGAAGTTTTCTACTTGAGTAGCGAGAAGGATGAAGTTACCATTTAGTGATGGGGGATGACTCAGAGGAACAGGTTTAGATGGTTGGAGTGGGGGGCATAAAGCCACTTTCAACATGTTCGGACCAGTGGGATGTGGGTGTCCTTTTAGACACCTCAGATGTCAAGTAAGAAGTTGGCCATTCAAGTTTGGAGTTTAGGGGAGAGGTCTAGCCTAGAGATACAAATGTTGGAGTCATCAGTGTATTAAAACCATGGGACTGAATGAATCACCTTCTGGGTGGAGGTGAGGGTAGATGGAGAACAGGAGAGCTCAGGAGCCTAAGCGCCGGGCCCCAGCATTAGAGGACAGGGCATCAGGAGGAAGCAGCAGAGGAGACTGCTAAGAAACACCGAGGAGATGAGAGTGTGAACCAGACATCCTGAAAGCCAAGGGATGAAAGTGTTTCCAGAACCATATCAGATGCTTCTGGACATCAAGTACAACGACCATTGGGTGTATAACGTGGCAGTGGTCATTGTGACCTTAACAGAGCAGTTCGGGTGAAGTGCCAGGAAGCACCACTGAGTGGTTCAGGAGGGAATGGGAGAGGAGTGGAGCCAGTGAGCAGAGGCAGCGCTTGTGGGCTTTGTTCTAAAGGGAAGGGAGAGAGTGGGCTGTGGCTGGAGGGAAATGTGGAGTCACGGGGGGTTTTGTAAAATGTGTGATGTAGCAGTGTGTTAACATGCTGTCGGAAGTTACCTCCTGAAGAGAGCAGAAGCGATGCTCCGGAGATGAGAGAGACATTTACTGGAGTGAAGTCCTTGAGGAGGAAAAGGAAGACAGAATGTAGTGCCTTAGAGGTGTAGAAAGCCCCAAGTTGACAACAGGAGGAAGGGCAGATCTACACAGGTTTGGGTAGGTTGGCAGCTGAAATCACCAGGAATTGTGACAGGACCATCGTATGGGAGAGCGTGACAGTGGCTACAACTCTTGAGAACTGGCATGGGAGAACTGACCGGCAGTTCTGTGTGGATCTCCAGCAAACAGATGGGGATGGGAGGTGGTATAGTGTTCCAGGAGCTGCAGACCTGGAGACTTTTAGGGAAGATCAAGGGACAGTGATCTGGAAATGGCATTAAGGAGCAAGGAGGACCTCTCTTAAGGCCAAGGAGGAGGACAGGTGTGGGAGAGAAATAGTCACTGCTTGGGGTCTGCAAGGGAAATAGTGCTCTCAAGGGAGAGCTGGGCTGCCGCCAGAGCACAAGGTGGAGGGAAGGTTTGGAGGTTGAAGATGTTGAGGTTTTGCTGATGAGTAGTAACAGGGCACGTGGAAGGGTCTGGGAGGGATGGGAGTCAGGATTATACTAAGGGAATGTACAGAGCTACATGGTGACAAGAGTCCAGGGGATGAGAGATGACCTGGCAGTCCTGAGCTGCCCGGTGACGAAGGACAGCAGGAGTAACAAGCCTGATGGAGATGGCCCTGCTGGTCTTTAAGGCAGTCGGGGATGAGGCTGAGTGTTGGAGAGGAGCAGGCAGGTGGATCTGGAGGGGGCCGGGGAAGGGTGGTCTTACTGGGATTAGGAAGACGATCAGCGTGGAGCTGTGGGCGCAGGGCCTGCAGGTGGTGCGTCTCTGCTTCTCTGTCTGGGCTGTTGTCATAGTCAGGGAGCCCAGGGCAAAAGGCACTCCATATCCTAGAAGGATGTTCGAAACACAGAACTACAGTTGCCTGAGGCCAGAGGCTGAATTGAAGGCCTGGGAGCTAGTTTCTGACATTATGTTGATTGGGGAAGAAAAGGGGAAGATTGTAAAGTTTACCAAGTACTTTCCCATCTTAGATCCTGTCTGGTCCTCAGGACAGCCCTGTGCAGAGGGGAACACCAAGGCTCAGAGAGGACAAGTGATTTGCCCAAGGTCACACAGCTAGGAAAGTGACTCTGGGCTCTAGGTCTTTTGTTCTTCCTAGGCCACCATACTTCTGCCCCCAAGCCCCCTTGCCTTCTTCTCTGGCCAGGGAAGGGCTCCTTTGGGGAGGGGACCAGGAGGAAGCTTGTTAGCTGAGTCCAGACCCTGCTGCTGAGGCAGGAATATCCAGTCTTCCCTTCTACCACATATCTTGGTCTGTAATTCTTGTAGTTCTTGTTGTGAAGCTCTGAATCTTTTTTCTCTTCCTCCCTTCTCTCTTTTTCCCTCCCCCATGCTGCAGTACATGCTGTGGAGAGTAAGTGGCCCTGCCCTCCCAGGGAGGCCAAGCCCCCATTTCTGGGGCAGTCTGCCCTCCCAGGATGGGCGGAGGTGTGGATGGGCGGGATGGCTGCCCGGTGACTATAAAAAGCAGTGGGATGTATCTTTTAGGTGGGGTTCCTTGTAGCAGGGAGGGATCAGGGTTAGAGGGCAGGAAGAGCTTGTTCTGGAACAGAGGGGGCAGGTTGCCTGTGGGATTTCCTTTGGTGGGTTGAGGGTGAGGGCAGAAGAGGCAGGGTAAGAGCTTGGACCACATTCTCAGGTCCCACCTCACTCTGGGGTTCAGTGATTGGCCATCGGCTCTCGTTAAACCTGAGTCAGTGGGTTTTCTTTCCTGAGATGCAGGCAGGGCCTTGGTGGGAGCAAAGGCCTGGAGTGATGCCCGTGAAGGGCTCCCTGTGTATGTGAGGGAGGAAGTGGGGCCTGTGGAGGGCATGGACTCTCACGCAGGCCTGCGGCAGGCCCTCTGGCTGCCCTCAAGCAGGGCCAGACTGGTGAGTGAATGAGGGGTAGAGGACGAGCCAGGTGGGTCACAGTCCAGAGGGAGGAGTGAGGAGGCCCAGGCGAGGGTGTGGGGAGCCTGCTCCGTCTGCTGACATCTTCTCCCTTCTCTCCTAGTCCATGACCTGCAGAGCTTTGGCCTCGACAATGTACGTACCAGGTAGAAACCATGGAGGGCGGGTGGAGGTGGAAGCGTGCTGCTGCCTTCATTCTCTGTAGAGACATCCTGGGGTGGGGAGCAGATATAGAAAAATAAACCATGTTCTGAGAGGGGGTGCAGTCCGAGGGTACTGGCGGTGACTTTTGAACTGAGATCCGCGTGGGCTGGAAACAGGGGATGGGCTTGGACAAGAGCATCCGGGAAGAGGGAGCCTTGGGGTGAGGTCAGGAGGGTTGGGGCACTTCTAAGGAACAACAGGGCCATGTGGTTGGATGAGGATGAGGCTGGAGGGTTGGCAGGCCGGCCGGGGGGTCTGGACTTTCTCCCAAGCAGTTGGGAGGCTGTTGGCTTACCTTAAACAGGGTTATGACATAATCAGATTTGTACTTTTTTAAAAGATCCCTCTAATGGCTGTTTGATCTAGACAGGAGCAGGACAGGCGCCGGAGCTGGGAGATCTGGGGCGCCTCCAGGCAAAGCCAGCACCTGCCACACAGGGCCCATGTCCAGTCTGTGCTTGGCTAATGGGTGGGTGCAGCCAGAGCCTCAAACTCTGGAGCCCCAGGAGCCCCCAGACCCTGAGGAAGGACTTCCTAGGTGGGGTGGGGGTGCCTGTCTCAAGCAGGTTCTCCTAGGCAGGGCCCAGCCCTTGGCCCATCTCTACACACCCACTCCCCAGACCCAGGTGCCCCTGTCTGCTCCTGTCTGAAGAGCCTTTGAGAGGGAGGGGCCTTTCGGGGCCTCGAGTGCTCCAAGACCCAGGAGCTGGTGTTGCTTGCAGATCAACATGACCCACTACATCCAGCACCTGTCATTCGGGGAGGACTACCCGGGCATTGTGAACCCCCTGGACCACACCAACGTCACTGCACCCCAAGGTACCAGCCTGGGAGGTAGCCCCCAGCTACCCAAGCCCTGCCTGCACCCACGCCCAGTGCCCTCTTCTCCCTGCAGCCTCCATGATGTTCCAGTACTTTGTGAAGGTGGTGCCCACGGTGTACATGAAGGTAGATGGGGAGGTGAGTCTGAGGGAGCTCAGACATCCGGGCACCCTCTTGGTGCCAGGCACCTGAGTTCCTTCAAGCTGGGAAGCGGAGTCCTGCTCTTATCCCCATATGATGAGTGACAAGGTGAGGCTCAGAGAGGGTAGGTGATTTGCCCTCACAGCCAGAGCTCAGGCCCCAGGCTGTCAGATTTCAAAGCGCTTTTCCTACTTGCCCAAAGTACCTCCATCCACTCCTCCCGTGTCCACTCTCTGTCTGCCTCACTGTCCCCCGTTATCTGCCCTGAGCCAGGAGCTAGCAAGGTCAACCCGCCCATGCCCCTTCCTCCCGTCTCTGCTGTGGCCTGTGGAGCAGCGTCTCCGCAGACTGGTAGAATGCAAGGGACTGAGCAGAGAGGAAGTCAGGCCCAGCCTCGCCAGGAGCTTGTGGTACAGCCTTGGAGAGTTGCTTCTCGCCCCTGGACCCCCATTGAGAGGGTCCACCAAACGTAGCTGGGATTGAGAAGCTGTAAAGAGCTGGTGACTGGAGGGGAAGCTGGGATGGTCAGGCTGGGAGAGGGCATCTAGGTGGTCCCCAGGCCTTGCAGTGTTTGTTTCCAAGGTGGGGCCTCGTTTTCTCCTCCACACAGTCAAGGCACTGCAACACCAGGGGTAGGAGCAGGGGTGGGGCGGCAGGGTTGGGAGCCAGGTCATAGACCCAGCCCTGGCCCAGGCTCCCCTCCCGTCCCAGGTGCTGAGGACAAATCAGTTCTCTGTGACCAGACATGAGAAGGTCGCCAATGGGCTGATGGGCGATCAGGGGCTTCCTGGAGTCTTCGTGCTGTACGAGCTCTCGCCCATGATGGTGAAGCTGACGGAGAAGCACAGGTGAGGGCAGGGAAAGGGAGGGGCCTGGGCCGGCAGGGAGCGGGGTGCCTGCTGACCCTCCCCCGCCCCTCTGCCAGGTCCTTCACACACTTCCTGACAGGCGTGTGCGCTATCATCGGGGGCATGTTCACAGGTTAGAAGCTCGAGGGTGTCTGTCTGGGGTTCAGGGCTTGATGGGGAGTGTAAAGCTTGACTCCCCCCACTAGGTTTTGGTTGAGGGAGGAGGGGCACTTCAAGGGCCAAGGGGGGGGATGCTGGCCTGGCCAGTCAGGTGACAAGGCCCGGAGGTCAAGCCAAGAGCCCACCTGGGCCAGTGCCAGCCCTCGTCTCTCTCCCCAGTGGCCGGACTCATCGACTCTCTCATCTACCACTCGGCTCGAGCCATCCAGAAGAAAATTGATCTAGGGAAGACAACATAGTTGTCCGTCCTTCCCCCCCAACAAGTCCCTGTTTTCCTTTGGCCTTGTGGTCATTTTCCCAGCCTCTTACCCCACCCACCCCGCACACCCCCTCTGCAAAGAGTCAGTCGCGGCCCCAGGTTGGTAAATCTATCAATTGTGATAGTACTCGCTGGTCTCTGTGTGGTTCTTGGGTCTGGCTGGAGCGTGGGAACAACCCTTATCACAGCCACTTATCAAAGGCAGTCAGGACTGACTTTGCAGAGCCAGGTGCCCCTGGGAGCCCCACGTGGACGTCCCTGCTTAATAGGACTTGATTCAAACCAGACTGATGTTCACTCCACAGCCCCATCATCAGTCCCTCCCACCGTGGCCTTCAGGCCTTTTGGGTTCAGCCCCAGGGCTTAGATGGACCTGTCCAGGATGAGCTTCCTGGAGTCATCCTGGCCCCCAGCCTTGTGAGTTTCCGACCCCACTGGTAATAGGCCCTGGCTGCAGGCTGGGGGTTGCCACCTCAGTGGTGGCTTAAGCTGGGGCCCCTCCCTGCCACCCTGGGCTCAGTCACCTGATCCCCTCCTGCTCACTGACCCTGCGATGTGCCAAGTGCCTGCTGGCTCCTGGTGCCCAGAAGGGTACAGCCAGGTCCTTTGCAATTTCCTGGGTGGACACAGAACTGAAAAACAGGGAGGGAAGGTAGCAGTGGCCATTCTGAAGCAGGGCTAGTATCAGACTCTGGCTCTGGACCTAGTCAGGCCTTCCCATTACAGCCCTTAAGATGTGTGGGGAACCGGCCCTGAGACCTCACCACTGCACAGCCCAGGCAACCAGGGACATTAGTAGCTGGTCAGTTCAGCCAGTCATTTCTCAGGGAGTTTCAGTGTAAGACAGTAGTGAGGGGAGAAGCGGAGGACAGAAAGCAGAGTAGGGCAATGACAGCAAAACTTCTGGAGGCAGCCGGACATGAGACCCAGCTCTGATGTGGCCACTTACGAGCTGTGACCTTGGACGTGTTATTGGTGGGCCCTTGTCTCATTTATGAATTGCGGGTGATATTGTCAGCTGTAGTGAGCCTTGTTTTTTTGGTCACCCGGGAACCATTCCCCCTTGTTAAGGTATCCTGGGTTTCCTCTGGGAACCTCCCCGCCCACTGTCTGCTTGTGTGATTTGGGAAGAGGGCTGATCTCCCACCCTAAGCCCCAGGGGAGGGCCCCAATCAGCATATCCCATCCCACACCCACACCCCAGTGACCCAGAGCAAGCTAGCATCTGTCAGGCCTAGGAAAGCTTTCTTTCCTTCCGGACATGCGTATGGGGAGACGTGGGGTTGCTGCAGCCGTCCTGCACTTCCGAGGAGAGACCCTGTCTGCAAATGAGCTTCCCCTGAGGACTGCAGTGCCAAGCTCAGGCAGAGAACCAGTCCTAGTGACATTGTTTGAACCCTGAGACAAACAGCACCTGAAGCCAACCAATTCCTGGGAATTACAGCTGTGTAAGCCAATAAATTCCCTTTTTGCTTAAGCCAGCTTGGGTTAGGATTTCTGTCACTTGCAGTCAAGTGTCCTAAGTGATCTGCCTTCTCTCAGGGTCGGTACAGGTTCACGGAGCACATAAAGGGCTTAGCTGCAATGGAGCAGCAGAAGCCACGGCAGATGGGGTGAGAGGGACCCAGCCGCTGGCATGAGCAGGCGCAGCAGGTGGGCTGCTCGAGGGCCTGACACCTCGGTGGCCAGGGCTCCTCGGCTGTGACCCGCCGCGGGGCCCTGTCCTTCCCGGCAGCAGGGCCACGTGGGCAGCCTCCCATCCTGTGCATTCATGCGCCCGAGGCCACCCAAGAACACATCTGTTCTCTGCCCCTAGTGTCATTTATTATATGCAGCATGTGTTCAGGGGACAGGGTGGATACCTCGTAAGGTTTACACAGAGAAAGCAGGGAACGCCATGATGGTTCCTATTGGTGGGAAGGACACCAGGGGCAGGAGTTGAGGAGCTGGCATTACGGGATGAGTGTCCAAGGTCAGTCAGGGGCAGTGGAGGGGGCGGACGGTAACCTGGTTGATCAGGCCAGGCCTGGTGTAGGAGACGAGGAGGAGGAAGACAGTGATCAGCGCCGCCAGCAGCAGCAGGATGCGCCAGCACCGGCGCCAGACGAAGAAGACGGAGGTCTTCAGCGGGTTCACAAACCAGTTGAAGGAGGTTTCGGGGCAGCTGCGGGGAAGCAGGTGGTGTCGGAAGGATGAGGAAGCCCCCCGGCTGCCCCCTCCCCCCTCCCCCAGGCTCTGGCCCCGCCTCCTGCACCGCACCGCCCGCACCCTTGGGCTTCTCCGAGGGCTCTGGCTCCTTGCGCCTCTTTCCCACTGGACGTTTCTCAGCCTCCTCCACAGTCAGCAGCTCAAACTCAGCCTCCACCTTCCCCTGGAAAAGGGGTGACGGAAGCCAAGTTCTTAGGCCGGCTCAGGCCTGGCCCCTGCCTGGCCCGGTTCCTGCCCTGGCCGCACCCACCGTGAGGATGTAGACGTTGCCTCCTGAGTCCAAGAACTCTTAAGTCTTCTGGCCGGCCCTTCTTCCTCTTCTTCCTCTTCTTCTTGCCAGCCTGAGCCTCCGGCACCCGCAGCTTCACTACAGGCCACCAGCCCCGCAAGCGGCGGCAGCGAAAGAGATTACGCCTTGGCCCGGCCCCGTCCCGGACCAGCCACACGGAGCAGAGCTCGGGGCCCCAGGCCCCTCGCACCATGTCCGGTAGCTGCAGCTCCAAGGATCCTGCAGGTCCAGAGCTCTCTGGGTTAGGCAGGAGCTCAAGGTCTATCTGAACCAACCTCCCCTCCCTGAGAGTGACACCAAGGAAAGCCGAGCCCAGAGGTAGAAAGTGACAAGATGGCGGAGAGCATCTTGGGGGAGGGGCAGCACAGCGGGATTGTAAATCGGGGCATCCAAAGTTAGAATGTGGCAGTCAGGCCACAGCTATGGACCACACACCACAGCCCAAATGTCAGCAGGTTGTCAGACCCTGATGATACAGGGCCCAAGGATGGGACCAGACCGCCAAAGCAGGGACTAAAGGCCATGGAGTCGAGTCCAGTGTAACCCGAGCTCAGGTCAAATTAGAGGATTGAGTGGGAGATTTGGGTGGAAATGGAGGTTATGGTGCTCAGAGCTGAATAAGTTCAGTAATTAGGCCAGAAAGCAGACCTAGAGTCTGAAATCCAGGATTGAGGATTGGGTTAGAGTAGGGAACCCAGGAGAGAGGGGACAGGGCAATGAGGGCAGAAATCGGGGCCAGGGGTTGAGGTAGGAGGGCAGCTAAGCAGTAGCAAGGAAGTCGTTCGTTGGCGGAGATGCAGTCATAGTCCCAGACCTGCAGGACCAGCACAGACGGCTGCCGGAACTCAGCTTCCTCCAGGGTGAAGGGTCCAGGCCAGCAACGGACGCTCACCTCTCGCTTGGTGGGCAGGTAGTCAAAGCGGAACACGAAGCGCGTTGAAGTTCCCTCCCCTGTCAGAGAGTTGAAGTGAACGTCTGTCTCCTGCTTGTCTAGCTCCAGCCCCTTTGCCCAGCTGGAGCCAGGGGAAAGGTGCAAGCGGAGGGGATGGGCATCCGTGCTGGACGGAGGCCAGAAACCGGCTCCTCACCTAGCCTGCCCCTCCACTCACCACCAGACTGGTCCCTCCACCCAGCTCCGGGCGCCATCGAGGGCTTAGGGGACAAAGCTCTGGCTCAGCCCAGGGCCCAAGCCCCTGTTTGAAATCTCACCTCAGTGCACAGCCATGTGCCCGCTCAGCCTGTAGGCCTACCTTTTCACGTAGATGTCACTCGACATCTCTCCAGTGAGTGGGTTTGCATCATCCAGAACTACATCCTCCGTGTTCCAGATGATGACTCTGAGCTCATAGCTGAGGGACGTATTGGGGGAGGGTTTTCAGACTCTCGAGAGGGGTCCTGGGAGGGGCTGCAGGAAGGACGTGGGCCAGGGCCACTGACATGCATTGAGCACCTGATGTGTGCCCAGCCGGGTGATCAGGATGTCTGTGGTCCCTTGAAGGGACAGCCCCAGGTATCACCGACCACCCCCACCCCCCCGGATGGCACCAGGAATGGTCTGCTGACCCAAGCTGGGCCAATGGGCTTCTCCCGCCCATAAATTTGGAATCAAGACCCTGAAAGGTTGACTCAAAAAGCATCAGATGCAGAGCTGGAGCCACCACAAGCCAAAGTGCTGTGCAGGCAGAGAGAGACAGTCTGCAGAGAGACACCAAGTGGGGATGACAGCACGCAGCCCCTGGGGGACAGAAGGAAGGGCTGTGACATTCTTGATCCTACCCCAAATAGCCCTGTCCTTGTCTGTCATGAGGTTTCCTGGATATCTATTGTTTTCTTTTGCCCCGTATCAATTTCCCCTCTCTTGTTGACAGCACTGTGATTTTCTGTTGGTGACTCCCACTCCACCCCCACCACTGTCAGCCTGTGTTATCCTGGCGGGGCGGACCAACCCCTCTCTGGCTCCAGAGGTTGGTATATCACCTACGACATCACCCAGGACTGGCCAGTCAATGCATTACAGCTCCATGATCACAAAGGTTGGTTCAGGAATCAGCATTTGACCCAAGCTGGTCCAATGAGAGTCAGCTCGAGACTTTTGCTCTAACTGGGAAAGACGTGTTTTTTTTTCCTGCTCAAATGGTCCGGTTGGTAAGATGTAAGCCTCCACTGTTAAAAGCCACTTGGACCCCAGACTGCATAAGTCTCCATGAGAGTGACACCAAGGAAAGCAGAGCCCAGAGGTAGAAAGTGACAGATTGCTGACATCTGAAGTGCACACACCCTCCACTCAGAGTAGCTCAGGTCAAAAGGGGGTTAACTGGTATTTGGACTGTTTTAGTTGCAAGTAACAGACACCCAATTCACAATGGCTTATGAAAAAAAAAAAGGGAATTTAATGGCTCACCTATCTGGATCAGCTCTGCCTGCTTCATGGGGGCCCTTGCACAGGTTTTCAGAGAGCCCTTGTCCAAGATGTGGGCTGTCCAAGATGTGCCCACCCCATGGGAGGATGGACCAGGACTCTCTTACCTGATTGGCTGCCGACGCTTGATGTCAACTGGAGGTGGGGCAGGCACATCTCCAGGGAAGATGTCAATCCACACATGAAGGGATCCCTGGGGGCACAGGAAGAGGCTAAAGGGTCTTGCTGGGTCCCACCCCCCTAACGGCCCTGTGGCCAGAGGTTGTGCCTCACCCCAGGTGGAGAGAAGAGCTGGGGTCAAGAGGGCAGATCCTGGGGTATGAGGATGAAGGTGGAGTCTGAACTGGGAATTCCAGGGTTGACGTTAGCCTGAGGGTTCAGAGATGAGGCCCCAGAAGTGGAAGGCTGAGATCAAAAGTAAGATCTACTGCTCCCAGGTCCAGATCCTAGGAATCTGGGGTAGAGGTCAGGTTGGGAGTGCCAGGTCTGAGCCTTGGTGGCCCAGGGGTGGGGATCCTTCAGAACCAGAGTCCAGGGTGTGGGTATGGGGTCCAGGATGGAAGTCCAAGACTGGAGTGGGGATGCTGGGCACCAGGATCAGGAGCCGAAGTCCAAAGTGCCAGTGCCCAGGTGGAGGTCTTGGAGAAAGGGCGTCCTGGGGGCCCAGGTCCAGGACCAGGTGGGAGTCCTGGGGTTCTGGGGTTGGGTGCTGAGCCCTCCTTCAACTGCAGCAGCCCTGAGCTGCGGCGATGGTAGAGGGGCCGTGTTTCTACGTGCTCAGGTACCAGCTGGATCCCAAGCCCAGGCGTCTCCTGCCAGCGCCGCAGCACCAGCAATGCCTGGGGCTCCTCAGGGACCTCACTTGCCACCTCGGAGTCCCCACTACCTGCAACAAGAGGTGTGTGAGCTTGGGTTCCGCACAGTTCCCGACTCTCCTCCCTTCCTCCCCCTGCCCTCAGTAGACGCTCTAGGCTGAGGCAGCTGCTGCATCGGACAAATCCACGGGCTGGGAGGGCAAGTCCACAATGCACAGAAAGCTCTAACAACTTTTGCCAGTGAAAAGCCAGCAGTCAGGGGGACAGTGGGGTTGGAGGCTTTGTGGCCTCTGTGTAGACCTTGCTTAGAGAACAGACCACTGGCCATATATGAAGCATGAGCTAAATTCTGCATCCGTATTTTATGTTGTATGGGACCCCTGTGTCCCCAGTTAGCTACGGCTCCGAGGGGTTCGCTAGGGCTCCCTGGAGATCTCACACTCACCAACAAAGACCACTTTCTCTCCACTATCATCCTTACTCAGCCAAAACTCAGCTCCTCTGCTTGCAGAGGGAGGCGGGCTCTTTGTGGGGCACACTAGGCTGGGCACCAGGGTCCCCCTGTACCTTGTTCTTCCATCTTGCTCCCTCTGGACTGTGCAGCGGAGAGGGGCTGGTACCTGGGGGCAGGGTCTCTGGCGGTGTCAGAAAGAGTTTGCTGCCCACCTTGACAGCCCCGGCTCGGTATTCAGGTGGGGGGAGGCCATAGGGTAGGCACAGCACCGCCAGGATCTGCGAAGGCCGAAATGCGTCATGCCAGGCACTGTAGCCATCCCTGCGGCAGAAAAGGAATGTGCCTCAGTTGGATCCAGGATATGAACGTACTTGGGCACAGGGGCAGGGATGGGTGCCCTTGAGGACTTGGGATCCAGGTTTGTAACTCCTCTGCGGGACAGGTTAGCCCTCGCTTACGGTAACGGTGAAAATCAAATATGCATGGCAGGTGCTCCTGTGAAGGAGATACTGATATTACCCGTCTTTCAGATGAGGAAACTGAAGCTCAGGAAAGCCAAGTGACTTATTAGTTACAGGATCCCAACTCCCAAGCCCATTTCTTGACCATTAAGCTATAATGTCTTGGTCGCAGGGGAGTCCCCTTCTATGAAATCAAAGGATCTGGACAGGCAGGTGGGATGCGAACTTGAATGTCTTTGGTCAGACTTAGAATGACTCCTGAGGGCCCTGTTGGACTCACACGTCATACTGGGACGGCAGCCCACAGTTCGCCCTGTGGTGGCTATAGAATCGGTTTTCCAGATCAATGTGGGTCTCTCTGATGAGGTCATCAGAACCCACGAGGTCATGATCAAACACAGCCACGGTCAACTCTGGCTCAGCAGGGAGAGAGATGCTGAGCTCTAGGGCCCTGGCCAGGAGAGAGCGTGATGAGAACACCTCCACACCCTAGGAGGAGGTCTTGTGAGGGGTAGGGGTGTGAGGGGACTCAACAGCTTCTGTCCATTCCCCCACACCACATCAGCTGCCTGAGTGAGAGCCACAGGGCGGGATGGCAAAGTTGCTCTCCATTCCCAAGCCCAGGGCCCAGCCTCACTCTCCAAAGATGGGGTTCAGCTACTTGAGGATGTAGTGCTCCTTGGTGTCCAGCCACTCCCAGCCAGCGCTCACCACCACATAGGGGTCTGCTTTGCCGTTGGCGTCCACAGGAGCCAGGTTGGTAGCCTAGGGAGACAGTATGGGGTGGAAATGAAAGAAATGTCATTGTCATAACCCAAGGTGGCTCTTGCCAGATCTAATCTCCGATTGAGTGTAAACAGGAAGTTACCAGGGAGAGATCTTCCACTTCAAGGAGTTAGCTGAGAGGTTGCACAAGATGACTTTTACTTACTTTCAAATTAATTATTGAAATACTTAAGACATACAAGTGTAACAAAAGATATAATGAAACAGAAAATATGTGGAAAGATGTATACCCTTATACATCTTACTATTCAATTTGTAACTTTCCATATTGTTTGACCTTCATTTTTTTACAATGAGCATATTTTACATTTTATTCCTTTTTTTACTTTTTAAATTAAGAATATTTTAACTAAATAAAAATAATTACAATTTTTTAATTGTATTAAAAAATAATACAATGAGCATGTGTGTGCCCTGTTTCATAAATTAAACACTACCGACAAATGTCCCCTGAGTCTCCTGAGTCCCCCTGACCTGACTTAATTCCTTTTTCATCCCTGAAGTAGCCAGACCCTTTATTTGGGGTTTCTCACTCACAGAAAAAAAAAAGGAAAAATACTTTTACTACATATACATACGTCCCTAAGCAATATATAGCACTATATTGCATGGTTTAAACTATATTTAGAAAACTTACTTTTTCTGTTTTTGATAACTGTGTAATTAAGTAAATTCATAACTTATGCATAAATTACTGAAGTATAATTTATACACAGCAATATATTTTTAGTCTTTTTACACTCCTACCTGCCATGTATGAGAGTTCCAGTTGCCCCACATCTTTCACACCTGGTATCGTCAGTCTTTTTATTTTCGTCAATCTAGCGCTTGTGAAATTGTAGCTCATTGTGGTTTTAATTTGCATTTCCCTGCTGATGAAGCATGTTGAGCATCTTTGCATGTGCTTATTGGCCTTATATATATATTTGCTTTTGTGAAGTGACTGTTCAAATTTTTTGCTCCATTATTGAGTTTTAAATTTAAAAACATTACACTTTTAATTTCTAAACATTCTAACTGGGCCTTTCAACTTGCTGTTTATTTTTAATAGTCTCTTGTTCCTTGCTCATTTTAAATTCATTCTTTTATTTCTTTAAACGTTTCATATATACTTATTTTACATTCTCTATCTAGTCATTCCAATATCAACGACCTTGGGGGTCTGAATGTGTTGTTATTTTTGCTAATTCTTACTCATGGTGACTTTTTTTTTTTAAACATCTTTATTGGTGTATAATTGCTTTACAATGGTGTGTTCATTTCTGGTTTATAACAAAGTGAATCAGCTATACATATACATATATCCCCATATCTCCTCCCTCTTGCGTCTCCCTCCCACCCTCCCATGGTGGCTTTTTTCTTTATATTTCAGTACTTTTTAATCATGATTCATGTTTCGTTTAACTCATGCTGAGGGGCTGTTGTGGGTGTTCTCTGCCAGAGAGAGCTTGTTTTCACTCCTGCCAGTTTCCTAGGCAAACTACCAACCTGCAGCCACTTTAAAATAAATCCTCCACTTGAGGTTTTGGGGATCACACAGATGGTGGGAACTCAGGCCCTGAACTGTATTAGAGCCAGCTTGTGGTCAAGGATGCTAGGGGAAACTTTTTCCCCTCTAACCAATGCCAAGTTTAAGACAGGCAAGTTTCCTTGGTGTCTCCTTCTGCCTTTCAAGTTCCTATTTTTGTTCATCCTTATGCAGAGGGTGTAATTTTGGGGGCGCCACTTTATATAAGGCCGTTCAGTCAAACTCCTCCCCTAGGTAGCCCCAGGACTTCATCTTCTGTCCTCACTGCCTGTCAACCATCCACGAGGAAGATGAGGTTTCCCAGGTCAGCAGTAAGTGTGGGGTGAAAGCCAGCTTTAGCATTCCTTTTCCCTAGGTCCCTGTTATTAACTATATTTTCTTGTTTTCTGTAATCTTGATGCTGTGGTATCTGGAGCCATACTGGCCCGGGAGAAACTGCACCTGTCAGGGATACTAATTCCTAGAGTTAGCAAACAACACACCTGCCAGAGCACCTTTCATATACAAACCAACCAATCTAGAGCCCATACAATGTCCAACCACCTCCTCTATCTGGCTCTTATACTCCAGGAAGTAATATTCCTCTGCCCTAATCATCCTCAGGGCCAGGTTCCAGACAACAAGAGACAGTGAGACAGCCCCCGTACCCCAGAGCCCACAGGAATTATTCAAACTAGCCAATCCTAAGCCTGCTTACACTGCCTTGTCCTGCCTTTACTGCAGAAACCACAATAAAGGCTCTGGCCCTCACACTTCCCTTCCTCCTTCTGCCTCTGAACTGGCCCTCATGCTTCCCCGTGTGGCCCTGCAGGGTACAGCATGCACCACCACCCCCCACACACAGAAAACTGAAACAACAGACTATCTTTTCAATGGCAAACATCTCCTGATCTGTTGGCTTCACCAAACATGGATAAGAACAAAATCCTGGGTACGTTTTAAAGCAGTTCCTGCTTTTATTCTGTTTTTTTTTTTCCACTCTAAAATCTCTTACTTTCTTGGAAGCTCAGCATTGCATTTAAAAGATTTTTTAAAAATAAATTTATTTACTTCCGGGAAGATGGCGGAAGAGTAAGACGCGGAGATCACATTCCTTCCCATAGATACACCAGAAATACATCTACACGTGGAACAACTCCTACAGAACACCTACTGAACGCTAGCAGAAGACCTCAGACCTCCCAAAAGGCAAGAAACCCCCCACGTACCTGGGCAGGGCAAAAGAAAAAAGAATAAACAGAGACAAAAGGATAGGGACGGGTCCTGCACCAGTGGGAGGGAGGTGTGAAGGATGAAAAGTGTCCACACACTAGGAAGCCCCTTCGCGGGCGGAAACTGCGGGTGGCGGAGAGGAGGAGCTTCGGGGCCGCGGAGTAGAGCACAGCAACAGGGGTGCGGAGGGCAAAGCGGAGAGATTCCAGCGCAGAGGATCAGGGCCGACCGGCACTCACCAGCCCGCGAGGCTTGTCTGCTCCCCCGCCGGAGCGGGCGGGGCTTCGGTCGGAGCGCAGGGAGAGGACTGGGGTTGGCAGCGTGAACACAGGCTGCAGGGGGTTAGTGCGCCACGGCTGGCCGGGAGGGAGTCCGGGGAAAAGTCTGGACCTGCAGAAGAGGCAAGAGACTTTTTCTTCCCTCTTTATTTCCTGGTGCGCGAGGAGAGGGGATTAAGAGCGCCGCTTAAAGGAACTCCGGAGACGGGCGCGAGCCGTGGCTAAAAGCGCGGACCCCAGAGACCGGCATGAGACGCTAAGGCTGCTGCTGCCGCCACCAAGAAGCCTCTGTGCGACGCAGGTCACTATTCCACACACCCCTTCCGGGGAGCCTTGCAGCCCGCCACTGCCAGGGTCCCGGGATCCAGGGACAACTACCACGGGAGAACGCACGGCGCGCCTCAGGCTGGTGCAACGTCACGCTGGCCTCTGCCGCTGCAGGTCACTCCGTGACCCTCCCTACCCCCGGCCTGAGTGAGCCAGAGCCTCCGAATCAGCGGCTCCTTTAACCACGTCCTGTCTAAGCAAAGAACAGACGCCTTCCGGCGTCCTACACGCATAGGCGGGGCCAAATCCAAAACTGAGCCCCTGGGAGCTGTGAGAACAAAGAAGAGAAAGGGAAATCTCTCCCAGCAGCCGCAGAAGCAGCGGATTAAAGCTCCACAATCAACCTGATGTACCCTGCATCTGTGGAATACATGAATAGACAATGAATCATCCCAAATTAAGGAGGTGGACTTTGAGAGCAAGATTTATTATTCTTTCTCCTTTTCCTTTTTTTGTGTGTATGTGTATGCTTCTGTGTGAGATTTTGTCTGTATAGCTTTGCTTCCACCATTTGTTCCAGGGTTCTATCCATCCGTATTTTTGTTTTTTGGGTTTTTTTTCTCTTAATAATTATTTTTTTATTTTAATAACTTTATTATATTTTATCTTACTTTATTTTATTTTACTTTATCTTCTTTCTTTCTTTTTTTCCTTCCTTCCCTCCTTCCTTCCTTGCTCCCTCCCTCCCTCCTTTCTTTCTTTCTTTCTACTTCTAGTAATTCTTTCTTTCTACTTTTTCTCCCTTTTCTTCTGAGCTGTGTGGATGAAAGGCTCTTGGTGCTGCAGCCAGGAGTTAGTGCTGTGCCTCTGAGGTGGAAGAGCCAACTTCAGGACACTGGTCCACAAGAGACCTCCCAGCTGCACATAATATCAAACGGCGAAAAGATCCCAGAGATCTCCATCTCAACACCAGCACCCAGCTTCACTCAACGACCAGCAAGCTACAGTGCTGGACATCCTATGCCAAACAATTAGCAAGACAGGAACACAACACCACCCATTAGCAGAGAGGCTGCCCAAAATCATAATAAGTCAACAGACACCCCAAAACACACCACCAGACGTGGACCTGCCCACCAGAAAGACAAGATCCAGCCTCATCCACCAGAACACAGGCACTAGTCCCCTCCACCAGGAAGCCTACACAACCCACTGAACCAACCTTAGCCACTGGGGACAGACACCAAAAACAACAGGAACTACAAACCTGCAGCCTGCAAAAAGGAGACCCCAAACACAGTAAGATAAGCAAAATGAAAAGACAGAAAAACACACAGCAGATGAAGGAGCAAGATAAAAACCCACCAGACCTAACAAATGAAGAGGAAATAGGCAGTCTACCTGAAAAAGAATTCAGAATAATGATAGTAAAGATGATCCAAAATCTTGGAAATAGAATAGACAAAATGCAAGAAACATTTAACAAGGACCTAGAAGAACTAAAGATGAAACAAACAATGATGAACAACACAATAAATGAAATGAAAAATACTCTAGATGGGATCAATAGAATAACTGAGGCAGAAGAACGGATAAGTGACCTGGAAGATAAAATGGCGGAAATAACTAATGCAGAGCAGAATAAAGAAAAAAGAATGAAAAGAACTGAGAACAGTGTCAGAGACCTCTGGGAC